GCCAAGCATGATTTTCATTTCGTGTCGGGCCAGCGCTTGTAAGTATGCTCTAGGCGCTTATAAAAGGAATCTTTGGCCAAATCGTCCTTCTCTTCCGTTGGAGCGTGGGCGCAAATCAACGATATGTTGAGAAATTTCTCTTTGATACGGATTGTGGCGAGACGCTCATCCACCGGGGTGAATGCCGGTACTCGACGACGGAGTCTCTCTCCTCCACTAATCCGATACCAAATTTGCGCTCTTCTAATATGGCTCGTGTAGTAAATGACACAAGCACGTACTACATTTCATCCTGGTCCCGTACATTGCACTTCTTGGACGGCGGTGACGTCAGCCTTTAATCTTACGAGGACATCAACCAGGTGGGCAGCGGCACCTTCCCAATTAAGGGACCGTACATTCCAATCATTGGAGCTGGTTTCTACGTGACGGATCCCAAACGCAGCGCACTTACAAGCTAATTAATTACAGAAAAAAAAATTACAGAAACATCTGGGATGAGTCTGAGCGGGGAATGCTGCATTACCATTATTTAGCGACACCATCAGAACTATTGGGTATTTACTACATATTTATATATGTATATACATATGATTGTAAATATGTAATAATATTTCAATATTTGTACATGGACAAATAATTAAGAATTAATTACCAACAAAATGCCCATTTCATTTAAATGTAATTAATTCGAACGATTTTAATTTGTTTCTTTTACCTCATTCGATTTTTAATTTTCTTTGGCAGCAAATATGTTTTCATTACCATCATGTTTTTATCATCATTCTTAATGATGCCAAGGAAAATTCTGTTTCAGTAAATAGACATCAGATTCATGAAAATTCACGCTATTCACGAACGAACTGAACTTTTTAGGAATTTTCGATCGGTGAAATAAAAATTCAAGCCCAAGTCGGACTGGCGAAACAGCCGGCTGATCAAATCTTGAACTAATTATGTGCAGGTTTAACATGAAAAAAGTTATAGAAGACTAATTTAAATAAAATAAAATTAAGTTACATTTTCTAATTGCTGTCGCCCCTCGACAGGGAATGTCCACCCATCGGAGTGGGTGAGCTCCACGCGTAAAAAAAACCATCAGCAGTTCGGAGGCGGCTTTGTATAAACTGTAGGTCTTTCCTTTTGTCCGAAACTCCTTTTTTAACATTGGAAAAAAAGGAACTGTAGGGTTAATAGTCAATTTCTGCGAATCCAATTCTTCGTTCCTCGCAACCCGAGCGGTGTGAATGGTAGTCATAATCTTCGACCACGAATTTTCCACTTTCCACTTTTGTGTGGATTTTTCCCTTTTTTATCCACTGCATCGACTCGGGATGATACTGACGTTTACAATTTCGTCAATGCCGTTGCAAATTTCATCCTAATCATCTTGGCACAACACCAAAAAATCTTTAGAACCCTCCAATCGTCGTTGCTTGTCGAGCGGCGTGTTCATTCGCGGTACCCAACGCGTACTAATTTTTTTCATATTCAAGTATTCATGCAAAATCACTTCAGCTCGTTCTTCTCTTCTCTTCATCTGCCACAATTTAATTTATCGAACAGCCAGTTTTAAGTTTAAAAATTTCTGAACATTTTCTTCGGTCGCATACATCACTGGGCACCCCGGGCGGGGATCATTTTCACAGGTCTCTTATCCTTGTTGAAACAGCCGAGCCCATTTTTTCATCATGGTCTATGAAGAGACAGAATTCTGAAGAACCAAATGACTTCTCTTTTAACATTTCTTTCGATGTTCTTCCTTTTTTAAGAGGAATATAATCACAGCGCGGTGCTCCGAATTACGAGAAATTTCAGTTCCATTGACATAATGTTGTTGCTTGTTGCTGAAACGAAATATTAATGAACTTAATGAAAAAAAGTTGTGCGGATTAGAGGTTCAGGAATTTACCCGCGATAAGGCATGCCTGTCGTGAGAAGCGTCTGAAATCCAATAGTTTCCGCGACAGTCGGGTCTTTATACCGGAACGACTCGAATTTTATATTCGGCCAAGGACTGTCACTCACGCAAAATTACCCAAAAATAACTTTGAGGAATATGTTTGCAGTTACAACAAAAATTATGTCGCGAACTTATCAGCCGCCCTTCGTACATATACATATTAACAGCAAATAGAAGGTGATCATACGCACATACACGTATATGTATGTATATAGAGTAATTTATTATTTTCCAGCCATTTTATTGAATCTCATAGTAAGTTAAAATCATATTTCTTTAAGCTGGGATTATTTGAACCCAAAGTAAGCCCTAAATGCAATGAATCGCCCGCGCGTGCTTTCAACCTCCTTTCATCTAATACCCAGGCTGATTTGCTTGTTTCCATAATTTACCTTTAAATAACCTCAAAAACAGTAATAGATCGGGTTTCAATAACCTAAACAAGAAAAATTCTAAAATAGAATGACTCAATGATTTCCTTAACCATAAAAGAGCATATACAGAAGATCTGTCTCACGGAAGAGGAAACTGCTCAGTAGTAGCATTTTTCAGTGCTGGAATTTCATGACATTTCGCCCCTTGAAAGCCAAACATGCGGAAATGGCTTTTGAAATTAGTTTTAAGTGTCCGAGTATATGAATGGCCGATCCAAGCGGTTTCAAGAAAAAGCTATAGTTAAGAATAAATTTTAAGAAGAAGTCAAGGGTGAATGAAGTTTACATTGTGTAAATGTCTTCGATCCCTTTTTAAACTTTATTTTCCTGCATGCTTTTTGACGACTCTAACCAAAAATCGGATGTCCCAAGAATCAGTTGTAGGGCGTTTAAATGATATTGATTTTAATGACTTTCAGGGTCAATATTTGTTTGAATTTGCATGTGTAGCTTACCAATTTTCACGCTCCCGGATGCCCTTTTTACGGATTTACGCACCAAAATCTCAAATTTGAAAAATCGAACGTATGAAAACATTAAGAGATTCCTTTCCATCGAATACTTACATACATACATACGTGTATATACTTAATGAAAGGCAGCTCACCAACAAGCAGGAGCCATTAGCTATGCCCCGCTTAAAAGGCAATAACTTAAAATCAAAGCACATAAGGCACCATTCCATCGAAGAAGATAGTTACAAATTAACAAGCACATAAGTAAGTATGTATATGGAGGCATTGACGATGACTAGAGCTGATATGTCGGCGTTAGGAGGCGTAAGATTTATGGTCCTATACGAGTTGGTTACGGCGAATACCGCAGCCGATAGAATGATGAGCTGTAGGATAAGAATACTTGAGCCTTGAAAGGTTTCGATGCTCTACCTGCCGGTGGAAGCGGAGGAAGGAGAAGACTTCCACTCCGTTGAAAAGAGCAGATAAAGAGGGACCTGACTGTAATTGGTACCACCAATTGGCGTCAAACATCGATAAAAAAGGAAATGAATGGCGCAATGTTGTAAATTCGGCTATAATCAAGTAAGCGGTGTTTACGTCAGTAAAGCAAGTAAGTAAATTTTCAGTAACAGAAAATAAAAAAAGAGTGTGATAGATATGCTTCTCGTTGGCGGGTGCACTATTAAAAGTCCTGTCGACGAGAGTATTAAAGTATTCATCCATCGTCTCTTTGTTGATTACAAAGCCGCATTCGATAGTCCGTTAAGCGATCATCTGTCTGAGTTTGGTATTGCTGCGAAGCTTATTCGGTATTGCATGAAGGCTATGAACAACATCACCAGCTCTGTGAAGATATTAACGGCCTTTTCCGAATCTTTCAATATCACCAAAAGTTTTAGACAAAGCGACCTCTTTATATTCGTGATCGACGCGGTGTACATCGTAATATTATTATTTGCTAAAACAGTGTCCTGTTAGTTGTTACTATTGAAGATGGGTCTGGTGTAGAACGAGGGCAAGACGAGAAATGTATATGCGTTCTACAAACAGCGATGTGGGGTGACTAGAATCCCTTGTTGTGCAATTCATTCTAAGCCATCTACGAACGACCGATGGTTTTATATAAAGAACATTTATTTCTCGTTAGAAATTCACAGAAATATACAGAGCCCCTGACATTTTCTACCGTAATTGCCAGAACCCTGGCCTTTGGCTCTACACCTTCAAAATTAAACGAAAGCTTAAGCGTTCACCACAGTCTTTTTGCCTCATCTATCCACCATAGATGTGGTGGCAAGTAGACGGCGTCTGCAGATAAGCGATTCGATATAATAATCTAATATCAAAACCATCACGCAGCGTTGCTGTACGCTAGACTTGGGACCCGCCAGGTGAAAACCAGTTGCAATGAAAAAGAGACAACAGCCACGATTCGTGGATCTCACTTTTGATGACGTCTACTGTTAACATTTAAGGAGTACGATTTTACGGTATGTATCTGGAATGTGCGTTATCGTAGAGGACTAAAGACTGTCATTACACCTCCGTACGAGAATCGCTATTGACGGACAAGGCCGAAAACATTATGATCCTTGTGACATGTGCTAAATGTTAAAAATTTTTTTTTCTGAATAATAAATCGATAATCTTTTATTTTTGTGTGAAAGATCACTTTTTAAGAATGTTTCAAGTGATCCAACGGATTCGGTGTTTTTTGTGGTGTACTCGGTCAGGACTATATAGGGAGTATATGGCAGCAATTTCAATTTGTTTTAGCCTGTGTGTAAGAAACTAATGCGCCCAATCAAACTTGTGTAGAGCCATTGAAATTCTCCGGTATTGTTGTTTATGTTTCCAGCCAATTTGTGGGCCAAACTTTTGCGGCAGGCGTTATGCCACCACGAGAACATTTGGTTTGCATATGATCGCATCTATGTAAATATGCATGTGTGAATGTGGGTGCATGTGAGTATGTCGATGAATATAAAAACCGTAAGTGGTTTCTGAGAGTCTAAATGTGCAACAACAGAAGATCGCCAAACCAAAATTGTGGCTAAAAGTGTAAACACTCAGTTCCTCTTAGCACTTTGATGCGAACGGTTTTGTCTTGGATTTGAACAAAATTTTTTATTGAAATAAATAAAATAAAATAAAATAAAATAAAATAAAATAAAATAAATTCAAATTTGGTGAAAAGTGAAAAGATCTCCTTAAGCTGAATCCTATTACTGTTTTATTTAGATGGATCAATGAAAACGTCATTTCACGATTGTTTATATCCTAATTACATATATACAAACAAACATGCATACGTGTATGTACGAGTATATACAATGTAGAAGGAATTTAAAATCAACACCCAATTATTGATAATGATGTTAAAATAAGAAAAGAAATTAGTGAATTTTTTGTTTATTTTCTCATGCATACACACAAATGTACATTTGTAAATGGTGGAATTTGTATGAAAATTACATTGTGATATCAAAAAGTATGAATGGCCGCGGTTTGTAGTTTAACAAAAGAAAACATAAATTACATTCAAAATTGCTCGATAAATATACAAAAAGTTGTATATTTAGAAGTACATATATATATACATATGTATATATGTATGCATATGTTTTAATATTTATATGTACATACATAAGTGCTTGTTTATATTTCTGCAACTGGAGTGCTAAAGTGCTGGAACGCGAATTGTTTTTTTTCTTCTTCTTCTTCTTCTTCTTGTGTTTGTTCTATTTGTAGCGAAATGAGTTAATGCCAATGTGGCTTCGATTAGTTTTTTGAAATCAAGTGTTTTTTATATGAATTTATGTGAATCATTTTTTTGCTAAAGTGAACCAATTGACAAGGCAACCGAAATCCCTACATATTTATTTAACCGCCTCAAGTGCTTGCCCCAATTAGTTGTGAACTTTCAAATCAAACTTTCTTTCGTATTCAAATCTCAGCGGAAGTGGTGATCATGGAGAATGTGAGGTTTTCTATAATTGTAAGAAACCATTGATTCCCTTCGACTACTTCACACTCAAAGCATGCAAATTATTGCAAGGTCAAAGGATGATGAGTAGTCCAATGGACGGCATGGAGATCATCATTGCCGAAGAATTTACCACCAAAAAAAAGTTAAAAAAAAGTTAAAAAGAAAACAGTAAAATAATTTTTCACATCACCTTGCGAGTCGATTGATCAAAATGTCGGATATATTTTAGGAATAAAATATGAGTTTTGTTGGTTTATAAGTTTAAAAAAAAAAAACAGAAGTAAATTAATAATAATTTTCTTTGAATTTCCACTATTTTTTTTTAATCAAACAAAAGTTTGATAAACGTAACACGATTTAATATTCAAATTAGGAAATTTTCCAACATAACCTCAATTTTGAAGGATCTTATAATGTAATATACTTAGTTGTTATTTATTTCATAAAAGCTGTTAGAGGGAGCTTTCGTGGAGCCAATCCGACAAATCCGGCTTAAGCATTCAGTAGTGTTTTTGCAGTGTCTGTTCACCATAAGTGTGGCTGCGAATATACATACATACACGTATGTCGTATAGAGACAAGTGGTTCGCTATATAAACGTATCTAATATTTCAACTTACTCGCGCAGCGATGCTCTACGCTGAATTTGGAAGCCGTCAGGTAGAAATGAGCTGCAATGAAAAAGAGATAACAACCTCGATTGGAAGTGGCGTCACTTTTGATAACGTCCACTGCACACGTTCTAAGGATCACGATGTAAGGGTATGCGCCTGAAATGTTCGATACTCTAAATGATTTAAGGATGGAGGTAATGCCACCATCCAAGAGTTCCGTTTGACGAGACAAGAACAAAAACGATAAGGTTCTTTTGGCATGTTCTAAAGCGGTCATACATACACACACATATATATACATATATTTGTAACCGCTAAAGCGATTTTTCGGACGACCTCCTCTTCCTATATGTGGTTTTGCGTCTTGTTGTTTTTCCAACAAATGAAGGGACCTACAGTTTATACTAAGCCACCTCCGAACGGCTGATGGTTTATTTACGAGGAGCTCTTATATCACTCGGAGAGGTAGAAATTCCCAGACTAGGGGCGATCACAATAAGAAAATTTAACTTAATTTTTTATTTAAATATTTTCAAGAACTTTTGGATGTTGGTGGCACTAAATTTATGAGCCCGAGCCTTCCGAATGTCAGTACGCAATGCTTACCACTCAACTAATCACTCGGCTATCAAGGAACTTATATTCAATGTCAGAAATAGCTTGACATTCTCTGCTGAGGGGCGACCGCAATTAGAAAAATTTATTTTCTATAATTTCAAATGTTGGCCGTATCAGGACTCGAGCGCCGGCCTTGTGAATGGCAATACGCACTTGTGGTAGGAGAGAGACTTAATCGTCAAGTTCTGACATTCGAAGTTCTTTAACACTTCGCTATTTGCGCTCACGCCCCGCCGAAAGAGAAAAACGATGTGATCAAAGATACATATTATCCCCTAAACTATATCTCTCTTTAGATAAATATCTTCACAAAATGCTGGGAAAAAACATTTTTTCTTCATGTTTAACACTTTTTAAATTATTCAAAAACAATAACAAAAGCTAGAAACCTGAAACTTGAATTATCTTATTGGTGTTAACTATTCCTGAAACGATGAACCCGATACCCCGTGGACTATACTCATCAACCTTTGGCCTTTGCAATTTTATTTAAAACTGTTTGCCACAAATCTTTACTTAATGCAGGAGAACGATCTCAAGTGGCACTCGGAGAGCCATGAAACACACGATTTCTTTTTCGACAAACGCAGCATCTCCAGCGAGAATAGCAGCAACAGCGATGCAGTATTTAGCGATGAGGCGCATGAGATCTTCTTGTGGCAGCAACAGCACCAAATGATCTGGGATCAGCATGAGATCGAGGAGACATTGGGTATGACACCAAATTCGTTGGCCATATTCGAAATGGTTAAAAGGAATTGTTTTATGGGTACGTATACGCGCTGAACAGTTGCACACACAGTCAGCTAACAATTCCCTCTCTCTCTCTCTCTCTACCCATGTTCTCTCTTTGCGCCAGCACTGATTCCGGCATCTAGTGATGCCAATTTAGCGCTACTCTACTCATCCATCTATGGCTGTGTGGAGAATATCATACATTTGCTCGATCACTATGCTGCCGATCCGAATTGCAAGGACTTACGTGGACGCTCACCGCTTCATTTCGCCTGCTGTCGCGGTAATGCGCACATAGCCAAAGTGTTGTTGGATCGTGGCGCTGATCCCAATCGTTATGATGGCAAAAAGGAGGTTACACCGTTACATTGTGCGGCCAGGTTAGTCGACGTACGTTTGGTTAGCATGTGTGTGCGTTTGCTGTCAGCGCTTTTAACGCATTCAACGCGCGGCACATCATTCACACATCACGCCATATTTACTTATAAACACAATTTAATTAGACTAAATATTTTTTATTTCTTTAGTTTTTATTATTTTTTTTTTGCCGATAGTAAAAAAAAAATATTAATTATTTATTTGTATTTTTGTTTCTCTCCATTTTATTTTTGGCCTTGTGTTGTGCTTTTTGCTTTTGCGCGCCATCAAATCGAACGCAACCGCGATCATGATCACGATCACTTTCCCCGTTGTGCGGCGCGGTGCGGTGCGGTGCTGTGCGGGTGGCGCATTGGCTATGGCTACACATAAATCGCGTTGAACCGTCACATTCGTGGTAGCGCCAAGAGTGTGGAATGCATTTTGCTGCTACTGAAACGGAAAGCGCACATCAACATTGGCATTGAGAAGCGTTCGGCGTTGCATTTTGCTATCGACCGCAATGCGGTTGAATGTGTGGAGACTCTGCTTAAATATGGCGCAGATCCCAATACGCCACAGGTAGGCGGCTGATTAACGTTACACTAATTTTGACTTTTTTCCCTGTACCAAATTTAGAAAAAAAACACACTCATACACACACAACAACAACATTTTGTACATATCCCGTTTTAATAGGTATACACGGAAACACCACTGCATACAGCTTGCGCCTTGGGCTTCAGCAAATGTGTGGAATTACTATTGAATCATGGCGCAGATGTGCGTTCACAGTTTGGCGAAGGGAAATTGACAGCCTTGCACTTGGGTACGTTATGTCTGATTAGCAGCTGTAAATTTTCACTGTTAATTCACACAAAATACAAAATGCTAAACAAAAGAACCACAGCAACAACAATCAATAACAAATCATTTACAATGTGTCAAAACTTGTTCATTTAGCCGCCGAGAATGATTACGTCGAATGTGTCCGTTTGCTGCTGGAACATGGCGCAGAGGTGGATTGTCGAAATGCGAGCCATCAGACGCCATTACATTTGGCCTGCCTGTCACAATCGATCGAAACTGTCGACTTACTCATCAAGTATGGCGCTAATGTGAATGCGGTGTACAGGGATGGTCGTACGGCCTTGCATGCTGCCATCGTGAAGCAATCTCGCAGTTTGGATTGTTGCAATGCTCTATTGAAAGCAGGTGCCAATGTCAACAAGGCGGATAATTTTGGTTATACACCGTTGCACATTGCGGCCTTGAACGAGTTCAGCAACTGTGTGTACACCTTTATTGGTAAGTGAGATTCCATGTTTGGTGTAGAACTGGATTAATGATGAAAAACAGGTGGAACAGAATAATATTCGGTCGATAAGAGAACCACTTTCAGCGATTCATTAAATATTCGTAGATTTCATTCCGAAAAGGTGCTTTTAGGAAACTTATTTCATCCAAAAAAAAAAAAAAAAAAGAGAAACGATGATCTTCTGACATCGATCTTGGCGGTTTGTAGCCGCTGAAGCAATTTTTGTCCGACGTCTTTCTCCGATTTGCGGTATGCATCTTGATGTTTTTCCAACAAATGGAGGAACCTACAGTAAATTTTGAGACGCCTCCGAACGGGCGATGGATTTGTATGAGGACATTCCCTTCCGAGGGGCGGCCGCAATTAGAAATATATACTTTCTATTATTATGGATGTTGGTCAGATTGGCAGTACATAAAGCTAACTACTCTACCAGTGCCTTCTTCTTCTTCTTTTTTGCTGGCGTAGACATTTTTTTTTTTTTGCAGTTTGACGCCAATTGGCAATATCAAGTACAGCCAGGTGCTTCTCTATCTGGTTTTTCCAATGGAGTGGAGGTCTGTCTCTTCCTCTGCTTCCACCAGCAGATGCTGCATCGAAAATTTTTACAGCAGGAGTTTTCCTTGATTCGCTGAACTATTTCAATGTCGCTGTATATCTCACACACTTCAATGTTATATCGTCTGCAACATTCGCCGTTCCCAACTCGTAGGACCATAAATCTTACACAAAACCTTTCTCTCGAAAACTCCAGACGCCGACTCATCAGATATTGTCGTCGTCTAGCCAATCTTATAGCAGGTCGGGAACGATAAGCGACTTGTAGAGTTTGGTTTTCGTTCGTCGAGAAAGGACTTTACTTTTCAGTCCAAAGAAGCACCTTTTGGCAAGAGTGATTCTACGCTGGATCTCCAGGCTGACTTGGTTTTGGTATTAATACTGGTTCCCAGATAGAAAAAGTTATCTACTGATTCAAAGCTATGAATAATCACCATCACACCATCAAAATACCAAAATATTGGAAAACATAAAGACAATTGGCTGGAGTTAGGCTAGATCCCAACAGAACCAATGTGTATTGTACAGACAATTATTTGCCATAGCAACTCTTTTCTAGACCTTTCGCGAACCGTCTATCTCGAGCCTTATCACTTTGCTGATATCCTTTGGAAATCGAAAGAATCATGTGATTCTAAATTTAGAAGTTGCTTTTCTTGATGAGGTATGCTGTCTTGTCGAGTTTAATTGGGAATCCAAATTGTTAGAAAAGAAGCTATCGCACAGGGCAGTCTTGGCTAAAGTCCGGTACAAACTGATTCTTATTTCTTCTTATTGCTTTGAGAATNTTGTAGAGTTTGGTTTTCGTACGTCGAGAAAGGACTCTGCTTTTCAGTCCAAAGAAGCACCTTTTGGCAAGAGTGATTCTGCGCTGGATCTCCAGGCTGACTTGATTTTGGTATTAATACTGGTTCCCAGATAGAAAAAGTTATCTGCTGCTTCAAAGCTATGAATAAATGGGAGTTTGTTATCTCTCCACTTTGTATTTTCGATCTGTGGCGTATGACATGGTGGTGGCATGGTGGCAATACAGAATGGTGGTTCACTTAATAAACCTGGCAACTCCTTTTCACAATGTAAAGATTTAACTTGTTCTCTCTTCTACAAAATCTACAAATTCATCATGGTATTACAAGTTGCTCAAAGAAGCATCGGCTAAAAATGAATGGTCGAATAAGATTTAAGTTACGTTAAATAGCCTGTTCTTCACCGCATCACACCAAATGCCCAAATACAATTGGCTGGAGTTGTACAGACAATTACTTGCCACAGCATCTCTTTTCTAGACCATTCAAGAATCCTCTTTCTCGAGCCTTATCCCTTTGCTGATATCCTTTGGAAATCGAAAGGATAATTCACATGTAATTCTAAATTTAGAAGCCGTTTTTTTTGATGGGGTGTGCCATCTTGTCGAGTTTAATTGTGAATCCAAATTGTTAGAAAAGAAGATATCGCATAGGGCAGTCTTGGCTAAAGTCCGGTACAAACTGATTCTTATTTCTTCCTATTGCTTTGAGAATCCTAACTGTATAGATACACTTTATGAATTCCAGAACATGGCGCTGACATTACGGCTCGCACAATGGGTAATGTATCCGCGCTGTCCTTCATCGTGCGGCGTACGCCAGAGATCATACCAAAGCTTACGGCCAAAATGGATAGTTCGATAAAAGTGAATGAACATGAGATCGGCGATGTTGATTGTGAGATCAAATTGGACTTTCGTCTTTTAGTGCCACCCACGACATTGGAACGTGGAGAGACTGAATTATTGTTGTCACTAATTGAGGTCGGTCAAAAACGCTTACTTATGCATCCGTTATGCGAGACTTTTCTCTTTCTAAAATGGCGTCGCATACGAAAATTCTTCCTGATGAGTCTGCTTTATCATGCGATCTACGTGATATTATTCACCATGTACATTGTGGGCGTATACGCGAGGAACTGTGCTAAGAATCCAAAATGTGAGGCGCCGAGTTATATAAGCACAGTGGGCTATTTTGTCATAATATTGAATTTAATATTGATGGGCAAAGAGATATTTCAGGTGAGTGATGAGGTAATTAAATGATCATATTTGTGAAATTTCAGTTTTATTCTAAAAAAAAATTCATTGTAGATGGCGCACGGCTTACAAGGTTACGCGAAATATTGGGAGAATTGGCTGCAATGGGCTATAGTTTTTGGTGTCTTGCTTTGTGTGGTATGTCTTGAGGGGAATTCTTCGCCGGATACTAACGAAACTCGCAAAACTTATAGCCATCATTAGCTTAGAAAAAAAACGGATGCCTAAAACTATGCAGTTAAAACGTTGCTTTAAATGCTCAGAGAAAGCTCATAGAAATTTGACGCATATTTTAAACCGCTTTTTTAAGAGTCTATCAATTTTGTGAGTGTTTTCAGTCGCTAAGTTTAACTATTAACATTTTTTTAGACACCAGAAATTTTAACGCCCACCAATTTGTTGGCTGTTCCCACTTGGCAACATCACGTGGCAGCAATCGTCGTGCTTCTTGTTTGGCTGGAGTTAATGATGTTGGTCGGACGTTTTCCCATATTCGGTGTTTATGTGCAAATGTTCACAAAAGGTAAAATACAGCAGTTATAAAAATACAGCAAAATATTATTAAAAAATAAAAATGGTTAACAATTTTGCGTAAAAATAGAGGAATTTTTGAGACAAAAACCAATTTAAAATAATAGCTGTAATTATTGAGTTTATCTTATGATTAATTTTTCCCAACGCTCCTAAATAAAGGCCACAGTTTTCTACGAGATGGCTTAAAAGAACGTACATCTGCAGGTAGATAGTTGCATTATCGTGATTTAAAAGATATTTCGGGTGTTTTGCCTGATCGCCTAAAAAATATTATATTATTGTAGAGAGATATTCTGTTGTACTCAATTATAATATTTCAAGAATGCATCCATATTTTGTCGGACTTATCGAGCTTATTTTGACGTTGGGCAACTCCATTCGAACGTTTAAGCCTTGGTTTCGATGGCATAACCATAAACCTGCCATTCGAGTTCTATGCCAATCGGCACTATTATTAGCTCCAACAATTCCTGAGTGTTGTTCAGGAGACGATATGCTTGGAAAAATTTCTTAGCTTATGGATAATAATCTTTTAATATATTTTGTTTGTACAATGTGCCTAAATGTAGGCAATGACATGTCACTTTAAAATATAAATTAACATTCCCATATATTTGGATAATGCTCCTAATTGCAAGCAACAATTTCAAAACTGAACAAATAAAAAATAATAAAATATGAATACAAATCGTCATTTCATACATAGCACATAAGCGATATTATTTGTGAGTATGGAAGAATTATTATTTTTTTCACTCGCCTAAATGTAGGCCACAATTTCTATTTTGAGAAAAAAGGCAAAAAAGTGAACTCCATGAAAAACACATAACTCATGGTTTAACATTCAAATTCACATACAATTTTGTGAGTTAAATCTGAGTGCTTGCTGTAAAAAGTTAATAACATTTTTGTACGCTAGCCGAGTGGTCAGCATTGCGTGCTCCCATTCGGAAGGTTAGGGTTTGAGTCCTGGTCCGACGAACATCTAAAAGTTATAGAAATTTAATTTAAATAGGCTCCTCATAAAAACCATCAGCCGTTCGGAGGCGCCTTAGTTAAAACTAACATTAAAAAAACATGGAGGGACCATGCGTTGGGAAAACATCAAGAAGCAAACCACAAATCGGAGGAGGAGCTCAGTCGAAAGTCGCTTCAGCGGTTACAAAGCGCCAATAAAATTGATTGAAACATTAATATTTTCAACGATTTTATATACATATATTTGGCGCTTCGTGGTTTCCTCAGAATACCTCTAAAAATCTAAATATTCTTCAAACTGAATGGAAAATTTCAGAGATCAAAACGGTTGCCACAACGATAAGCGATATGCGTGATATAGAAAAGAGTGTAAAAAAGAGATTTTAGAGTAAAAGAGTACGAGGAATTGTGGAATCGAAAAGTTAAAAAATAGCAACACTGTTTGTCATCCGCTTACAGATAATCGTTTTGAACACTAAAGGTCATGCGCCTGATTGTAGGCAACATTTTTGAATTTAATTTTAGACTTAATATATTTTAATTGATTGGTGGTAATTTGATTTAATTTTATCAATTAATTTTTCTAAACTTTTTCCAGTTGCTGGTAACTTTTGCAAATTCCTTTTGGCCTACATCTGCTTGCTGATTGCCTTTTGTCTCAGTTTCTCTGTACTTTTCAACGATTACCCACCATTTGAGAATATAACATGGTAATTATCGCTAACATAAAGCTTTCAAAGTACAGTATAACTAAACTCTCTGCCCTTAGGTCTCTACTCAAAGCCATCACAATGATGTCCGGCGAATTGGAGTTCGAAGATATATTTTATGGCGATATACCCGTTAAATTTCCTGTCACCTCACATATACTATTTCTCTGCTTTGTACTACTCGTCACTGTCATACTCACTAATCTCATGGTCGGTTTGGCTGTCAGCGATATACAGGGCTTACAAGTATCAGCCACTTTAGATCGTTTGGTGCGCCAAGCTGAATTAATTTCACGCTTAGAAAGTTTGTTCTTCTCTCGTCTACTACGTCGTGCGCCCGTCAAATTGATGCAACTTTGTAAACGTAGCGCATTACTACGCACTTCGCGCAATAAACTAATGTTTGTGACACGACCAAACGATCCGCGTGACAATCAATTGCCTGAGGATATCAAATTGAATATATACAAGCTGGTAGCGGAGCGACGCGATCGCAATTTAAGTTTACGTCGACGTAAACTCGAAAGCAATTACAATATGTTCAATCAGAGCTTGCAGCGTCAGTATGAGGAGAAGAAACGTTGCACTGCCATACCCGTGGGGTTGACGACTGATAAAATATCGCCGAACGCCACGCCAAAGAACAACAATGTGAATAATAAAAAGTTCGGTAATGATTTAAAGGAACCGCATGTTATGGTTACCGTACGTGAAAACGATTGTCTGCTGCGACCACGCTCTGCTACCAATGTGCACGATCAGTTGATGGCCGAAAGCGACGTGGCGGTGAAGTTAAAGAGTCAGGTCAACGGCATTTCTGACGTACGCGCTGAAGTGTTGTCGCTGCGCGAACATTTACGTGAGATAAGTCAAAAGCTGGACACGTTTTCGGATAGTGCAAACAAGAAACTCACATTCACAGCTGAGGAGGTGTGTCGGATAAAAATTCACCTTGAGCAAAAAGCGTCCTTTCAATGCTGATTATGGCTTTAAGTAGCAAACTTCTTGGAGCAGAGAGAACTATTCCGGAGCAATTATAACCAAAGAGCTTTAATACGAACTTTTATATACATATACGCATGTATATACATACAATATATAAATATATACGTATTAGTAGCACAGCGATTTTATTTAATTTATTACAAAATAAATGTATTAAATATTAGTATGAGAAAATCATTTTTTTGGTCGAAAATCGCTAATGTATGTACATATGTATAAATATTATGTAACCAGTTTTGAAGTGCAACTTTTTTTATTTTTTTACCGATCAAATACGTACGAATACTAGTATATAAATGCTTTTATTTAAATACGTGAATGCGACATATATATATTTATTAGGTTGGTCCAATATATATATTTTTTTTTGCGCTTGTTATATTAATATTCAACGGTGTTGGCAGAGCTTTGAAACCCCAAACTTATTTTAGAATTTTTGTAATTAAAATTAATTCTTAAAATGCTAAAAAACATTTGTCTTGGACGATTTTTAATGTTTAAAGTGCGAAACTTGTCTTTATAATTTTAATTAACTTTTTCTTATTTAAAGAAGATTATAATTGGCGGCTGTAGTAGGTGAGTGGTTCACTATCATGCGGTAGAATAAAACTAATTTTTCCAATTGCGGTTAGTGTCACGCCACCGTGTGTATTTGTGATATAAAAAGAGCTTCTCTAAAAACCTTCAGCCCTTCGAAGGCGCCTTAGAATAAACTCCAAGTCTCCCCACATCGCAAATCGGAGGAGAAGCTCGGTCGAGTGTAATATGGGGTGTAATAAAGCTTCGGGATATGCAGTAACAGTCGCGGGGCCATACCAATTCCTACTATTGCATCCACGTCACGCATCCTGGAAACTTGAGCAACCCTTTTGCAAGATGCGGTAACCAACTCGTACAGAGCCTTGGGTCACAGCTAAAGGACAGGAAGCTTCAGTGGAGCCGCTCTGACTTATTCGGTTTAAGAGTTCGCTGAAGTCTAATTGCAGCGCCTCTTCATCAGAGGTGCGACTGCGAGCGGAAGTCTTGAAGCAAATGTTGGCAAAGAGGGTATCTTCGGTCCAATTGTCAGAAAGTTCAGCCTTCACAACGAAACATCTCGAAATGGATTGAGACTGATTGACTTCACCGGAGCCCGAAATAAAGTTGTCTGTAGTACTAGATTCAAGCAAAACAAATGCATCAAGCTATTTGGCTCTCTCCTGATCGAAAAACACAAAACCAGATCGATCATGTTAGAATAGACGGAAGACATGTCTCCATTGTTCTTGACGTGCGTAAACTCCGAGGACCCAGCATCGACTCGAGCCACTATCTTGCCGCAGCAAAGATACGCATCTGCCTCTGTGTATCAATGAACGCCCGGCAACAAACACAAAAAAGGTTCAACGTCGAAAAGCCGCAATCACAACAGACTGTCGATACGACTTGCACTCCTGCTCTCCGAGGGCACTCATCAGCAACTCGGTATAAGGGAACTGTGGGAAGGCATTTGAAACTCCTTACGTACAGCTGCAAACGAAACTGGTACGATGAGGGCTGTGTCGAAGTAGAGACAATGGTAATGCTCTAAAATTTCATGAAAAAATACTGCAACTTACAGGAGAGTTCAAGACAGGAGCAAATTCTAGGACACAGAGAGGGGATCTAGTAACAGATGCTCACATTTTAGTGAATTTATGGAAGGAATACTTCTCCAGCCTGCTTAGTGGTGAAGGAAATGGAACACCAGGAGATGGTAAACTTGGACATCATGAAAAAGGAGGCTGAATTTGGTATCTCCGCGAAACTTATACGGCTAAGTAAACTTACCTTGAACAACATCAAAAGCTTCGTCAGGATTCGGAGGTTTCAGGCAGTTTCAACAGGAGGTTTCAACAGCACTCTTGCAGGTTCTAGACAGTTTCAGACTGAGAAGGCAATTGAAAAGTGAAGTCCTCTTCCGGCGAACGCAAACCAAACTCTAAAAGTCACTTATCGTTCTCGTTCCGCTATATAGTGTGGAGGCATGGACGGCGAATGTATCAGGCGATAGAACGATAAGCTATAGGAGATATACGGTGACATTGATTTAGTTCAGCGAATCAAGAAGCAGCGCCAACATTGGCTAGGTCATGTGGTCTGAATGGGTACGAATACTCTAGCTATGAAAGTTTTCGATGCAGTAGCCGCCTGTGGAAAGAGAGGAAGACCTTCACTCGATTGAAAAGAGTAGGTAGAGAAGGACCTGGCTGTACTTGATATTTCCGATTGGCGCCAAATATTAAAAAGAAGAAATGAATGGCGCAATGTTATTAACTCGGCTATAATCGCGAAAGCGGTGTCTACGCCAGTGAAGAAGAAGTAGTGCCAATGATGTATATAGATAGAGTTCAGGTGAGAACCTTTGATGCTAGTGCTGCATGATAAGGTTGTACTTATGTTTTTAACCATGCATAAGCTTTTATAAATATATAATATATGTATATGTATGTATAAAAATTGTAGTCATTGACATTCTATTTTTCATAACAATTTATTTAAAAGTGCACTGACATATGTATAATATTTATAAAATAATTTTTATAAAAATGTGGGCGCGAATTTTGATTGAAACTCTTGTAGACAAATATACATACATATTTTTATTTAAAAAAATTAACGTTTTTATGAAATATTTTGTAAAAAACATGTTTTCTGTCTAAATTTATACTTTTTTTAATGTGGCCGAAAAATTTAATTGAAACTCCTTTAGAGCAATGTACATACATATATTTATTGAAAGATAAAATATATTTAAAATTATAATGAAATGTTTGCGAAAATACCTCATAGTGCCAACAACACCATTAACAGGCCTATTCTGTCGAGATAACAAAATTTATTTAGGTATTCAAATTTACGATTCAGTAAATTTTGTTACTATTTCGTATTCTGAGCTCACTGTCACCCTATAAATTTTGTTACCAGCGAAATTGGAGGTAACAAAAATATCTGCTGTTTGATTTTGTGTTGTAAATTTGAGAAAAAATAAAAAACCAAAATGGGTAAGCATATTTTAGGCCTGGAATTCGTTGAAGATGAAGAAAAAAGTGCAAAAAGCCGTATTTTAAGAAGTTTTAGAGACAAAAAATATCCCTTTAATTTGTAAGATAACGTTTTCATACAGCTTTTTTTTGCTGTCTAGGCATATTTTCCATAATTAGGTTCAAAAATTTATGATTATTGATTATTATTGTACTAATGCTTTGTTATTATTATTAAATAAAATAAAATAAAATAAAATAAATGATATAATAAACAAATTAATAAAACTTTTTAATTTTTTGGGCACCGTCTACCATTTCGATGTGAATATTTTTCTTTTTACTTTATCAACTGGCAAAAGTAATTTTACATGGACAAAAAAAGCAGTGCTGCCAAATTTTTTTCAAACATTGTAACCAGTTCTTCAGAATACTAAATTCAATTTCGGGTGTTAAAGAAAAGTAACAAAATTTACTTTACTGGAAACAGTGAGAATAGGCCTGTAAATATTAATTTTTCTCGAATTAAAAATTTATTTCAACTATTTAGAACATTAGAAGAAAAAACAGATAAATTCCAAAAGTTTTAACTTTTACATCTAAAACTTTGGACCACCCTAATGTGCGTGCATATTTGTTATAAATATCCAAGTAGAACGAACTGATCAATTAAAATATTAAATAACAAAAAATTTGCATATGACCTTATAAATACATATATATATATGTCCACATGTATGTAAATATATAAATGTTTATGTGTTTACAATTACTTTCAATTAACCATGTTGTTTATGGCATCATTTTTGCATTTTTGAATTTTTGCATTTTTACACTTTTACACACGTCTAGCGGTTTCGGTCAACCATTTGTCATTGCTCTGATTCCACAAAAGTGTGCCCTCCGACGGGATGGGATCGTCTTTTTTAACCGAAGTCCAAGTTTTCGTTATGGGATCAAAGGCGAAACTCTTCGAGTTGGCTGGCGTCGGTGGCGGTGTATTTATTATCAACGGCTTACGCGTGACGGGTATAAATGTCGGCTTGGGTCCAACCTGTGGACCACCTCTTATCAATTCATACTCGGCATTGGGATCGTTAGCCGGCTGGGGGCGGGCAATCGTAAGGGTTGTGCAGTACAGCGTAATTATTGCTGAACGTTGGTTTGAAAGAAGATAAACAAAAAGTGTAAATAAATTCAAAGTTTTATTCAAGTAATTGAAACTATCATTGGTTTATTTTATTTGCTTGGGAAATTGAAAAAAAAACTGTTTAAATTATTAAATAAATTAATGCACAATTTTATTTTTAATATTTCTAATATTTTCATTTGCCAAAACACATAAGAATCATGTAAGCGAAACTTACCAAATGCAAAAATAATTTTATATGATTTCATTTTTTATTAATTTCGCACGAATTTTAAATTGGATTTTTTAATTGGCACATTTATTCTTGTGAGAATTTTTTGTTTCTGTTGTTATTTTCAGTTGTTTGTTTACTATTGTCGTGTTGTCTGTTTCAAAGCGTCTTCTCTCTCCAAACGCTGTTTCTCTACTGACCATTCGAAAGCAGAGTTATTTGCATAAAATGATCTTGCAGATATGAACTCATACATTACAGTTACATATATTTAAATGTATATAAGATTGCCCACTGAGACTTATTTCTTTACACTCATTGGGTTGTTTTCTGTTTTGACCTTTTTATTTGTTTATCTTGAAAGTGCTCAAAACAATAAATATTCATAAAATAATATCTGGACGCTTGTGAGTCATTTGAGTTCAGTTTCAGTTTTAGAACAACTATTTATCTAGCCATCTATCATTAGGGTGTATCGAAAATTCTCGATATAAACGCCAATCTTCTGTTGTTGTTGCTGTTCAAGGCAAGATCAGACTAAGTCATCGAGGTCATCTAATATCCAGGTGACATTTCAACGGGCTCGGACCAGAGGAAAAGGAGGTAACTCATTGCATGCTGGACATATAATGGATATATCGGGATCAAGTCTGGATAGGTAAGAGTCTAGTCTTCTCTACGCCTGCAATAGGTGGCGGTTTGACTCTGAGGTCGGAATACACTGGAAAAAATTCAAGAAGGTGTTAAAGAACTCTCGGTGTATGACGTTCAATGCCTGCGGTAAGTCGTCCTGTCCAGTCGTTGTTGTAGAGGGTGCTGAATGTAGTCCTGAAGGCGATGTTTTGGCAGGCTTGTAGCTTCGTCATCTGCATCTCGCCAGTCTTTGGCGTCCAGATCAGAGCAGATTGCCGACGATTTTTGCTGGTTGTAGTTGTAATTATCTTGCAGTTAAGCGGTGGAAAAGGTCGTCGAGATAGCACTTCACGTTCGAACATGAGTCATCAGTATCTTGACCAGACGCCAATACCGAGCAATTATCCGCATATGTGATCAGTAAAACCTCTTCAGTTAGAGGAGGAAGCTTCGAGATATGGAAGTTAAACAGCATTGGGGAGAGAACATCACCGTGCAGAAGCCCTTTTTTAATCTTTCTTCGAAATTTTACCGATGGTTGTCGATCACTCAGGCAGCCCATGATACACCTCTTCAACATTAAAAAGCTTTTGATTGATCCAGTGCTACCAGAACATTTCGCACACGGTGCCGGTTCAGGTTGTGGCCATTGACCCTCTGGGTGCTTAAGGCATTAAGTGCAGTTGTGGAGCTTTGCGAAATTTCGCGGAAGCCATGCTGATGTGCTGCTGGACTCAGATAGTGTATGAAAGTCAGAAACAGCAGGGACACAAGAGTATTCTCTGCACAATAGCCGGTTCTACGCGCCGAAGTAGACCCAGATTTTACAATATCACAGGCTGTCGTGTTAATATATAAGCCAATTTCTTCCATGCAGATGGTGAAGTGGGGTATGAAGTTGTTGTTGTCTTCCTAGAAGAGGTTTCCCAACAGTTTCCGATATCTGAAGGTTTCTATGATTGTTGCATCGAGTTGAGATCTGTAAATTTACGGAAACTTCGCAGAAAGTTGATTGTCCACATACGTACGACTGTTTTTAGACTCCCGTTGCTACTTGTACACACTCGTACATGTCCTAGCTTTGTCGCCATATACAGCTTTTACTTCACTATAAATCTCAAACTTACGAGATAGAGGATGAGGCCGCACTTGACGGGAGACTCGATTGGAATTGTTCAGAAAAAGTGTTGTCACGTCGACAATTCTCATAGTACTATCATGGAACCAGTCTTGTTGCAAAGGGTGTAAGTCTGGCTACACTACCGTGGTACCAACGAAAATAAATCCCTCCAGCCGTGAGAGCCTTTGATATTGTGGACAATTTCGTCTGTCTATTAATTAGCATGAAATTCAAAATAACTCGTTTTGGCTAAGTAAGTAGCTTAAACGTTCTAGAAGCGAACAAAAGTAAAGCTCAGCAGGACGCTCATTATTTAAAACCTTCTTTAAGGTGCCGAAATGTGGATATTGACGATATCCAATTAATCAGCATAGCATTAGGAAGTTTTGAGAGGAAGCTTCACGGACCTTCCGTACTATCGACAGCGAATACCAAAAATGACGAAACGTTGTGCTATTGTATATGAGTAAACTACAATAAGACTTCGACGAAGTCCAACGAATTGAGAGACATCGACTACGATGGCTTGGTTATTTCTGTCGTATAGATAGATAAAAGAACTCTAACTTTGAAAGTATTCGATTCAATGTCCTCTAGTGGCCGCGGGAAAGATCTTGTTGAGGAATAAATAAATATTTTTTGAGGCAAATTAAACTTTTCCTTATCTTTTGAACATACCTCGTATGTATGTTAATGTACTTGTGTTTTGACATTTTCAAATCCATTAAAAGTTCAATGGCGCTTGTTTGTCGGAAATCAAGTAGCTTTGAAACATTACCAATATATATATAAACGAATACATGAAATGTGCTTTGTGTCAAAGCAGCAACTGATAACCTCAAAAAACGGGAATTTATAGACAAGAGTGGTATATATTACAATTCATAGGAAACTACTTTTTCGAAATAAACAAACAATAATAATTTCTAAATTATTTTTGCGGCCTGAACTTTGAACCGAAGTATGCAATCGGAAGGAAAAGAAATTTGCGCTTTGTAATTGTTGAAGCTATTTTCGGCTGAGCTCCACCTCCAATTTATGATTTGCTCCTTGGTGTATTTCCGACAAATAGTGGAACCTACAATTTATTTTAAGCCCCCTCCGAATGGTTTATGGATTTTTATGGGGAGCTTTTTAGCTCACGCTCGGATTAGAAAAAATAATTTTGAATATTGGCCGCACAAGGAGTTGGATCCATCCCAATGGCATTACGAAATGTTAACCACTCGGTTATTGCCGTCGCGGAGGAGCGATAGAACCATCAAACTGCATACCTATCAGATCAGAATGACGAATTGAGTTGATTTACCTGCCCTCAGTTTTAGAGATATTTCAACCAAACTTTTAAACGAGGATTCTTCGGAGACGGCCAGATCGGACCCCTTTAGCATTAATGCAACCACTTTCTTCAAATGGGAGGGTTTGGGTAAAAAAATCCGTCAAATCAGCAGCTATAAGCGTGACATTCGGTATTTTACACATATACATACAACCGATTTGTACCGCATGAGTATAAATACACGGTGTGTCCCAAAAATAACCGAACTTTTTGGATATAAAATAAGATACGCATTATATTATCTTTGAAAGTTACTATTTATTCAAAATAGGTTCCATTTGACTCAACACAAAGTTTGGAACGATCAGCGCATGCATAGATTTCTTTATGTCATTTATAGAAGTGTTCTTCAGTACCTCGGTTACGGCAGTTTGAATGGCTGGGATATCAACATAAAATGCTCCCTTCATCTTGGTTTTCAGTTTTGGAAATAAAAAAAATAGTCACATGGTGATAGATCAGACGAATATGGAGGATGGTCGATGAGAGAAATCCCTTTTTTCATTAAAAATTCGAGCGATTTCTTGGTCATCATTTAATTTATGTGGAACAAATCGCGCAAAGACCTTTATTTACCCCAAATCTTCAGTTAAAATTCTCCAAATAGTGGTTTTACTCGTATTCAATTCCTCAACCAACATTCTCATAGTAAAATTTGCATCGATACCAATGATTTCACGGACTTTTTCCACCAGCTCAGCACGATTATTAGTTTCTGGACGTCCTGCTCTAGGATCGTCATTTAAATCCTCACGACCATTTTCAAATCGTGTAAACCACGTATAAACTTGCGTACGACTCATACAATCATCACAATAAACTTTTTTCATTATTTTTTTTTTTCAAGTTTAACACAAAATTTTAGATTTGCTCTTTGTTCCATTTTATTTTTAAGACATTAGCACACTTTTGGTTTTATTGAAATGACTGTCACTTTTACATCTGTCATCCGACTTACATGACGTTAGGTGCGTTTGAGAGAGAATGAATGTATCTTTTTAATTTTGCAAATTTTCAATAGATGGCGCCGTATGTTGTATGATTTAAATATAAAGTTCGGTTGTTTTTAGGACACACCGTGTATTTAATCCTAAAATTAAATACCACAAAATCAAAAAAGCAGTGAAACTGGCTTAAATCCTTAGGTAGATTTAGTAAAAAAAAATTTAAAAAAAATATTAAAATGTCATCCAACTGCTAAAAATGTCAGCGGAAAGATTACACATTAAATTAAAAACTCAATTTTCTATACTTAAAAACAAGAAACAATTTTATTTCAAATCTGCTTCCAGGTTTTTATAACGCGTTACATGTACCCATTCGTACGTAGGAAACAACTGAAAAGAGAGAACAAAAAAAATTAATTTTAATTTGTGGAGATCTCTCTATCGTATATAGATATGTACATATATGTATCTATACTATATACATAAATATAATGTATTAGGGTGGTGTAAAAATACCTAAAATATTGACCCTGACCCAGAAAGAAACTTTTTTATAAAACTTTTACGCGTAAATATTTTTCAATTAAAAAGATTTTTTACGATTTTTCGCACGTGTTGTGTTGTGTAAAAAATGTCATTTTTTTTTAATAATTATAAACAAATTTTTAGCTACACAATTTAGAGGAAATTGAGCAGCAAAAAAAATTTTTCACCTTTCCTATTATTCTGGGAGTAAACAAAACAAAAATCGGTTTATTCACCACACTAATGAGCACGAAATTTAATACCCACCTTGACCACAACGTGTCGCACAATCCAGTCGCGCATGATTATGGTAATTCTGATTGTCGCTACCACAAACGGGATTATATTCCATGGTGGAAGGACAAGCGGCCAAACAGGCTAGATATTGTGGTGAGGGCACAGTGGTAGAAGAGGCAGGCGGTGCGGGAGTGGTGGGACGTGTAACTGTATTGCAATGTATTAATAAAAAGAAATTAGTTTTATTTGTTTATATATATGTATGTATGTAAATATCTCATTTCTTTAGACAGTGAACTCACCCGGACGTTCAGGCAAAAATGGATTGGAGAAAATTGGACTTTGCCAGTTTTGTGGGCGTGCATTGACTAATGTACTTAGGCAAACTGCAAAATAAAAGGTATGATATAAATTTTTATAATTTTGTATAATGAAAATATTGTTATTCAATTACACATACCACAAATACACATAATAATCAATTTAGAATTCATGCTTATCACTTTTTGTTTTCGAATTTTGCTATTCAGCTATAGGAATGAGTATGTGTTTATGAAAACCCGTATTTGTGTTTTTACGTGACAACGCGTTATTCCCCGACAAACTTCTGCGACTGACTTGAAGTAAATAATATTTTCACTGCCGGTTTTATACTGCCATTGGCATTGGGAAGACCAAAGAGATGCCCATCAAAGCAGCTCAGACATACATACATACATCCATACATATTGTACTAAGGTAGATTCTTACGCATACATTTGACATACAAACGTGATTTATTTTTGAAGATTAGCAACGCGCTGTTGATCTGTAGTCGTTTACGTTCAAGCTTACTCAACAGCCCAGAAATGCCTTCTTTCTCAATTTGCGGTACTCGCATGCTGATAAGTGAGTTGTCTTTTATATTCATCTCTGAAAGCCAAGCTTAGTGCTTTGTTCACATGTCTAAATTCAAAAATATAGTATTTTGATTCTTCTTCATAACGGAGAGTTTTATTTTATTAAGTAATTCAAATCAATATTTGGAAGAGTCAAATAATTTGAGAATTTATTTTAGCAAATAATATTTACACTTATTATTTTTTTTTATTTAAGTTACTCTTGTTCCAAGTGATTGGTGATAGCGGATTATTCATAAAAATTTTTATTCAAATTGGCAGTGAATTTAACTACAGTTGAACTTCCCTTAACGGACGCCTTTAAGAAACGGCCACCTCTATTAAGCGGGTACTTCTTAAAGTCCCTTCAATTTGTTCCCCATATAAATTTATCGCTGATAAACGAGCACCTCTATTAAACGGGCAAAAAATTCGGACCCATTTATTGGAAGTTTCACTTTACTTCAATATTATTTCGAAAGTAGCAACTGAATTGCCAAAATTTTTGCAATCGTTTTTAACAATGAGAAAAATTGATTTACCATCTGTTTTCTAATTCGAGTGTGAGGTAAGTACGAGCGGCCGATAACTAAAGCACATTCTAGAGCGACAGCATTTCAGAGCTGAGTACGAGCAATCGATGAGATATACTATGTACGTGTTAGAAAGTGACAACATTGGTGTACAATGAAAATAGTAGTGTTAAGAATTGTAAAATAAATCGTAAATTGTAAATTGATATTTATTGTGTAATAAATATACATTGAACTAAGAAATTTTTTTTTTTTTAAACCCAGTGATCGAGCTCGAAGAATTTGGGAAATCAACGCGACATAATTAGCGAAAAACGTTACATTACCAAAAAAAAAAAAAAAACAAATCTGTTAAATAATCGATTGTTCTGTTTTTTTAATTCCAAGTCACATCTCTGGAGTATGCTTATTATTTTAAAAAACGTCCTAACTGCCGAAACAAATTTTAACCTTTTAACACTTCAAATATTTCTTAGCAAAATTTAAAAACTTTCGAGTTAACGCTTTTCAACATTGAATCGTAAATACGTACATATATACATACGAATACATATGTATGTACATGCATACTAACTTAACGTCCAGCCTCCAACAATGACGCTTGCAATTAATTTTTAGCACTAAATTATACGCACATTGTACAAATACAAATAAACATTTTATGTATATACATGTGTATACATTTATCACATATAATTGTAACCGTTGAAAAATCCCCAAACTTCTACTGGTTTGGATTCACACTTAATTATCGCAGTGATTAATGAGCAAGGAATAACCTATTGCTTACTTACTTTACTAGCGTAGACACCACTTACGCGATTTAAGCCGAATTTATACAGTACCATCGTTCCAATCATTCCTTTGTCCCGCTGCTTGACGCCAAATGGAGATACCAAGTAGATGTCATTGGCTCATATAGCAGGACTTTTTAATTGCCTACTCAGTAAACAGTAGCACCTGTTGGCAAGAGTGATTCTTCGTTAGATATCAAGGCTGGTCACTAGATAGACGAAATTATCTACGAGCTCCAAGTTTGCTGTTTGTTTGATGACAGGAGATATTTCGTCTTGCCCTCATTCACTACCAGACCCATTCGCTTCCCTTCTTTAAAAAGTCTGGAAAAAGCGGAACTCACGGCGCGGTTGTTGAAGCCAATAATGTCGGATATCATCGGCGAAAGCCAGCAGCTGTGTACTCTTGTAAAAGATTGTACCTCCTCTATTCAGCTCTGCTGCACGTATTATTTTCTCCAGCAATAAGTTAAAAAATTCACTCGATTAAGAGTCACCTTGTCTGAAACCTCGTTTGATATCGAACGGCTTGGAGAGATCCTTCCCGATCCTGACGGAGCTTTTAGTGTTGCTCAAGGTCAGTTTATATGCGGTGATACTAAAGACAGCGACGAATGCGGCTTTGAATCGACGAAAAGGTGGTGAGTGTCGATCCTCTTTCACGGGTCTTTTCCACGATTTGGCGCATGGTGAATATCTGATCAATGGTTGACTTATCAGGACTAAAGCCACACAGATAACGTCCAATCAGTTTGTTGACGGTGGGCTTTAGTTCTTCACACAATACGCTCGACCTGACCTTATAGGCGATATTAAGGTGGCTTATTCCACGATAATTGGCGCAGGCTATGGGGTCAACTTTTATATGGATTGGGCAGACTTAATTAAATTCTAATCGTCGGGCAGGCTTTTGCCCGACCCTTTTCTACAAAATAGCTGATGCATGCGCCTAGTCAGCTCTTCAGCGCCATGTTTGGGTAACTCTTCCGGTAAGCTGTCAACTCCCGCCGCTTTCCATCGTTATCGATTGTGGTTTCGTGTTCACCACCTCCGGATTCTCCATTTTCACTACTATTCAGCAGGTTGGAGAAGTGTTCCCTCCGTAAATTCCATATGCTCTGGGCATCGATGACTAAATCCCTCTCTCTCTCTCTCAGAGAGCAGGAGTGCAAGTCGAATAGAACATCGTTCGGCAGTCTGTTGTAATTGCAGCTTTTCGACGTCGAACTCTCCTTGTGTTTGTTGATGGGCGTTCTTTGAAACACAGAGGGGCATGAGTATCGCTGAAACAAGATAGTGGTCAGAGTCGATGTTGGGTAATCGGATTGTGCGCACGTCAAGAACACTGGAAGACATGTGTCTTTCAATGAAACGCAAAATTTCCTTTTTTGTTCAATTATATTTGGTCTTGAAATTCGATTTGTTTGTAAAAAAAACCGTTATACTACATCAAATAGCTTAAAATATAAACACGTATAATAATTGAGTTTACATTTTTTTTAAATTATATTCATTATGATCACATTTCAATGATTTGTTTTCACTTATTTAATACATGATTTTTGGTCGGTAGAAATATGTCTTTGTGTGTGTGCTCTTACTTCGCTAATGGCTAAGGCTGCGTGTTAGCTAATTTTTTTTTTTGCTATGAAATCTCATAGTTTACCGCCTAAAAAAAAAAAAATTCCTATTTGTGTACATAGATATTTATATAAGCGTTATTTTTCAAACGTGTACATTTACAGAGTTACAAAGAGGACTTAAATTAAAGCCTGTGTTTAGTTTTCCGAAACGATAAGCCAGCAATTAAAATGTATGGCCATAAATTCATATGCTGTATGACATTTATAGGCCAGGCAATAAAAATTAAAGTACAAACAGATGTCCATATACACATACTCATGATATGAATATTGATACTTGATGCCTTTACAACAACATAAGCATCTATGTATACTGATGTTCTTATCATGAATATGTAAAGCAATAAAAATTAAAACATAAGATAAGATTATCTATTCGTGGGTAATCTTCTAATGTAAACATACTTATGTACACATATGCATGCATGTAAATTTTCACATTACAAATTTATATAAATAAACGCTCTACAGATTGTGGAGTCAGTTATACTTAAACCAAGTGAAGGTAAAGTGATTTAATTCCCGCCTCAACAGCCTGCCTGCTAGCGCATGTGACAAGCCTTCGTTAAAGCCTTGTATACGTACACATATACATACATACATAAGTCAGTATTCAAAACAAAACTTTGTCAATTTATATTGGATTAGTAGAAAATTTCTAAGAAACAAGTTGTTGCATATAAACATAGGTATGTATGTGGAAATGATAAAATTATTTTCTTTTTTTGTTTTTTGTAAACAGGAACTTGCTTAGTTCAATTTTATATTAAATATTTTTATTACTCCATTACACCGCGCTCTCCGCACTGAACAATAATTAACTTTCCCTTCTAATTATTTTTCTTCGATTTCGTGCTGCCTGCAGTTGTTGATTGTTGTGTCTGCGTCTGCGTCTCGGCGCCGGAGCGTCGATTTTTGCGTCCGCCACTGCTTTCGGTTATGGAATTATTTGTACTGCCACTAGGTTGTTGTTTTTTCTTCGACCATTCAATACTGTTCAATTGACGTTGCTTAGGATCGGGCGAAACAAAAAACCCACATATCTTTTCTTCCCAAATAACCAATTTCACCTCGACTGTGGAGAACATTTGCAATTTTAGTGGTGGAGATTTAGAATTACGTTCAGCTATCAGCACATAAGCAGGGACATTTGTCGTATCTACTAATACTTTTTGCATTTTATAATTAATAGCTATGGTGTGACCAGTTTCAATGGTGACCACATTTAATAGATGCTGGAAAATTTCTGTTACCACCGCATGTACCGTAATCGATTGTTTCTCTCTGATGTAACGTTTGAAGAAAAGATTAATGGATTCATCTCCAGCATTTTTAGCATTATACTTTTGATCGTTACAGATTTTGGCAAGCATATGCAACTCATCAGGTGAGCGTTTTGGTGGTGGGCAATAGTCTAATGCAGCAGCAAGTACTCTGTAAAATGAAATAAAAAAAATGTAGATACATATACATATATATATATATAAATATCTTTCGGTATAAGAATGAATGATTCGATAGATTACCAGTGTGGAACTACAAAATATATTAAGCCGTAAATTTATGCAATAATACAAATAAAAACCCAAAAAATTACCTATGGACAAGAATATCAGGGTAGCGACGTATTGGACTTGTAAAATGTGTATATATTGGTATAGACAGCGCATAATGCCAAAGATCGGCCTCTTCTGATTTGCCTTCACTGCAGAAATACCTAATAAAAAAAAAAATTCAAAACAAAATGTAAATATTGGGAAAAAATTTTGTTTCACGCTGATTATATGCTTACTTGGCGCGTGCCATTGGCTTAGTGAGCAGTGTGCTCAAACAAGCCTCCATTGCTCTAGGATCTTTGGCCTCACTACACAATTTCTGCATGCTGGCATATACCGTTTTGGAGCTTGAGCAATCAAAGTCCATGCCCAAGTTAGTTAATTTTTCACGCAAGTTTTTCATTGATTTTGAAAGTGGTGGACCATGGTTACGCAATATAGAAATATCAGGGAACTGATCGTATATAAAGCGTGCAACCGATTGATTTGCCAACAGCATAAATTCTTCAATCAAAAAATTTGCTTCTAAACGGCTCTCCAATTCATAACTCAAAGGTTCGCCAGTTTTGGGATCCAATTGAAAACGTATTTTCGGATTATTAATAGCCAGCGCCCCACCCTCAAAGCGTTTCTTACGCAATGCTTCAGCAACTGTATTCAATATTTTAATACGAGGACATATGTCAGCTGCGGTAAAACCATTACAAATAATGGGAAAATCGTCAACGCCAAATTCTTCATTTGGATTGTCAATTACTTTTTGTGCATGTTCATAAGCTAACTGAACACATGAATTTATAACTGTACGAGAAAATCGTGGTTGTCCAATAATATCACCACTTTTATTCAATTGCCAGAAAACTGAGAAGGCAAGCTTATCCTCACCCGGCAGTAATGAGCATTTAAAGCATAACGTTTTAGGCAGCATGTGTATTACTTCGTTAACCAAATATATCGATGTAGCACGTTCCTTAACTATATTATCCAATTCACTATCCTCTTCCAAGTAGTGCGCCACATCAGAGATGTGAACACCGATTTCGTATAAGTCGTCGCCCAAACTCTCCACGGAAACAGCATCATCTAGATCACGCGCCGTTAACGGATCTATTGTAAATATGCATTTTCTTCGCCAATCTTCACGATTATGCAATTCGCTTGGACGTATGGGCGGATCTGTTTGTGCGTAAAGTTTATTGAATCGCTCTTCAAATGGTTTAATATTTCTCAAACCATTGTGAAGTAGTATGGCCTTCAGTTCAGCTTCCATGTTGCCGACTTTACCAACAGGTTGTATTAATTTACCAATACAATGACCATTTGTGTCAGTTTCGACAATTTGTGCTAAATAAAGCAATCCACAAATATCAGCCTTGTTTTCTGTTGTGATATGTGAAACACATGTGAGTACTGGAATGTAAACCATAGGCACTCGCATATCGTATGGTTTCAGCTTATAATAACTCACTTCATCATTTAGTTTGGTGGAATTTTTGAATGAAATGGAGCCTACTACCTCACGTAGCGTTGTTTGTTTCACTATGGAGATAACGAAAGATTTAGGGCAATTATCCGGTACTACCGCAGTTGAAACATCCAAGTCATCGCCGTCATCTGAATCTGGTGATTCAGTAATATCCTCGTCAGCTGTAAAAAAGGTAAGGTTAATTCAAATGTAACCCGTTACAAAAGTACATATTTTATTCTTTAACATTTGAGGTGTAAGGAATAAATATATGAGACTATAAAAATTACCATTACAAAAATTATTGCTTCCACCTGTAATAGTAGATTCTGCAAGTTCTGTCTTCCCTGCTTCTGTATTGTTGGTAGCATTAGCGACTGCTGAAGCTGTCGAAGTTACGCTTGCCCCTCTGTTCATTACAAATGCTCGTACTATGTCGCCTTCGAAGGCATAACGCCTGGCTACGGGCAATAATACGATGCCATCACGCTCGGCCCCTTCCCGATCTGTAGACATCGTTATAAATGATTGTCGATTATTCCTACGGTTAATACGTATTTCTTCTTCCACTATACGGCCTATGCCAGCCTCCACCAACTTTTGAGCGTATATTTCCAAGTCTTCGAAGTTACCCTTAAATTCTAACTTTTCCGCCTTTTCTTTTTGCTCTGGGCCCATGTACTCACTCACAATCATATTTAGGTATTTTCTCAGCAATTCCAGTTCACTTTCTTTTATTTTAGAGTCTTTCGCAGTTTTGTTCTTATGCTTACTTGGTGTAGGCTTTTGATTGGCTCTTTGAGAACCATAAATTAAATCTTTTTGTGAAGTATTCGAACTGGCATTGGATATCTCGGATTCTTTCCTCTGCTTTAGCCAAGGCAGTGGTTGAACATTGTTATTTACTCGTACAGTAGAGCCACATGCTTTTATAGACACATTTTCATCAAAGATTTTTACTTGTTGAAGCTTGGGATTTGTTTGCGCTAGTATTTGTATGCATTCTTTTAGTTGTGGATTTTTAATAGTTAGCTGATTGACCAACTCTTGCAAGCCCTCAACTTGATCCTGTAATTGTCGTCGGGATAGGCGCTTACGCTGAGTCTTAGATGTTTGCGGTTTTTCAGCAATGTTCACAGCAGATTGTGTTGCTGCACTGGTACTGGCCGAGTTCTCGAGGTTATCGGTCTTTAGGGCTTGTAATAATTTCATTGTATGTTCCGCCAAAATATCATTTGCTTGACATGTTACTGGTGAGTCAAAAACGGCAGTAGCGTGATTTTGAAGCAAATCCTTTTGAAGTCCTAATTTATCACGGAGATTTTTGGTTTTTTCATGAAGATTCGCAATTTTTTCGCGAAAAGTTATATTTCCAACATCCTTTGTTTTTGAAGTCGCGTTTTTGTTCTTAACTTTTTTAACAGTGCCTGTAACAACCGTTTGTGTTTCGCTTGACCCAAGTACTGTCTCTAGCGTCGGCCGCAATTCATCCTTGTACTCGTTTGAACCCATATCTTCCGAAATCACTAGCGAACGCGTGGATTCCGTAGCATCTTTATTAGTTTTGTCAATAGCCTGTTGATTGACGCCAATGTCACCCTGATTATCAACTTTCACTTCTACGGTTACATTTTTGCTCTCGTCCTCGTGCTTTTCAATATCTTCTCCGCAATCCTTCTCCATTCTGATCTATTCAAATACACTTCCAATTTTTTTTATTTTACCGACTATATTATTTCTTTGTTTTAAATAATGAAAATAAATTCGTAGACTGATGTAAAATTACAACCTACATACGTATTTTATGTTTTGCCAAATCACTTTTCATTTATTTTCAATTTTTTATGTTTCTGTCAGTTTACGGAGAATTGTGAAATGTCAACAGAGTTGCCACAGCACGTTGTCGATGTGACGCCGTCGAAAATACTTAATACCCCATAACTATTGTTATACAAATTTGACGGAGAATTTTCAAATGTTAAAACAAACGACTTAATACATTCACTAACACAGTGCAACTGCTACTGACAGCCAAGCATTAGCATAAATTAATTTAGACGCCCTTCAAGGCGAATTTGTAGAAGGTGAAGTTGTCACATCGTATGATTCCTTGTTCTTTCTTCGATTTCATACATCTGCAGTAACGCTGCACGCAGTACTGCATGTTTACTGCAGACATTTTACGGTTGTAAGAATATGTGCAGTAAGTTCTGTTTGACAGTGTCGTGCAATCATATTTCATTTCAATATTTGTTAAATATAAGCAAATATGAACGTTCTTTGATAGTACGTAGACATCAGGGTGTTCAAAATTCTACTGCACAGTGGCACATGTGTTTCTAGCATTACACAAACAAATACCGTGAGCAACATTTCGAAAGTTCAATTACAGAAACAAATTACTCCCGAAAATACTGTGGTAAACATGCTAGAGAACGTAAATCCATCGAGAAGCAAATATCGTATATTAATACGTTCATATACGTTTTTTGGTGGTTCAATAAAGTTCGATTAAAATTTTATAAGTAAGGCAACATCTACGAAGTGGGGTATGTTCAATCATTGTTTTCTTATTTTTCGCGCCAATTTCTTTTCTTTGACATATGTTGCGAGCGGATGCACAGCAGTTTTGTGATTATATATAATTTTTTATTTATCGTTAATTTTGTTATAATTTTACAAATTAAAAATGTAACAACTTGTGAAATCTTTATATTGTTTTCGAGTGATCGGGTCTTAAATAAAGAATTGCAAAATTAGGTACACAACTGCTGTGGGTGACCTCTTTATGGCGTGTTAAACGTCAATGTGGGGTTTAAATTTTTTCTATCCGCATCTCTTCTTGCAAAAACTTGCTTGTTTGTAATTTGTTTGCTGCTTTTTATAATTTAGTGCTTAAGTATAAGGCTATTAAAAAGTAAAAGCTTTGCGTAGAGCTTGTAAATAGTAGTAAAATGACTGACACGAATCTAAAAGAGGGGAATGATTTTATTTCCGCCAGCGTGGCCAATAATGGAGATCTATTGGAGACCAATGATATTCCATCGGTGTTAAGAAGTTCGGAAGATGTGTGCAAGTTTATTGTAAAAGCACCTCGCCCAGATTCTAAAGTAATATTACAAAACATGGAAGAGGTGTTGAATTCTGTTAAAAAGAAACATCGGCAAAAACATAAAAAAAAGAGGGAACAGAAGAAACTTGCAGAAATGGAAGCAGCGGCAGAAGCTGTGGCAGCAGCAGAAATATTGAACTCAGTAGAACGTGAGGACCATGTTGAAGACGCATATTCAAGTGGCAGTGACACACGAAAAAATTTCAAATCACAAAACGATAAAATACTACTTGGCCAGCACCTAAAAACAAAACCTCTACAGGAAAAAAAAGTGCAGGAAAATGGTCAAGAAGATTCCAAACGAACTGGCCGTGGTAAGCAAACTACGGATAAAAGGAGCCCATTGAAGAAGTCACCGGCTTTTGATAAAAGCCCGTTGAAGGGCGGAACATCAGCTAATGGAAACATTTTACGACACTTTCAACGAACACCTAAGAAACACCAACAACATTCAGAGCAAAACGAAAAAGTATTAGAAGTAAACGCGACTAGAAAAACTAATTCATCTGCTGTGAATCAACCAAAAACGATGAATGCTTTTGAGGTTATGATGAATGCCAGAAACAAAACAATCGGATCAAACACACCTGGAAAAGAGTTATCACCGACTATGAATCAAGAATCAACAGTTAATACTAAGCGCAGACTCATGTTGCAAGAATGGTCCGACAAAGTGGGTGGCACAAAACGAAAGTTGGAAGAGGAAAAACGTGAGGCATATATAGTGGACCAATTGGATAATCGTGCGAAACGGTATGTAACTAATTGTCTGCCAAAAATCTTTTATTTTAATAAAATACATAGTAAATATACATATATTAAAAAACCTATGTTTATTTTAAATTTACTTTTATTTAAGTTTCAAACACATGCTCGAACATGGCGGCTCGTCGAAGCAGACTGATACCCCCACACAAAATAAACAAAGAAAACCTAGGAAAGCAGATACCACTTCTACTGCAACAAAGCAGAACATTGAAAAACCAAAGCGTAGAAAACGAACAGCCATGCGTCTTGACTCGATCGATTCAGTTGATGATAATGAAGAAATTACTAAGATAGATGCCGAAACAGCTGAATTTTTATCTAAACTAAATTCACCAACTAAAAAGCGGGATAGCCTACTAGGTTACTTCCCACGAAAGGAATCTCCAACAGAAATTGCTTCAAAGAGCGGAAAAGAGCCATTGTTAACAACGCAAGAGGATTGCATATCTGAGACTAAAAAGCATCGTACACGTCGATCGAGTAAAAATAGTGTAGGAATAAATACCGTGCCAAGTACAGATACGGCCACACCAGTAAGAGAAGAAGGAACTTCATCATCAGCAACAGGAACTGAAAATACACCAAGTGGTAGACCAAAGCGCTCTTGCGCAGGGAAAGCGCGTTATGATTATGATTTAGATGTAAGCCCAACAAAAACTGCATCAATTAAAAAACCGATTTCGAAAGTTAAAAATGATGAAAGCAAAATAGAGTTGGAAATAATAAATTTAGATGATAGCAATATGTCGCTTTCGCCAGAAAAAGTGGCAAAAAAATTGGCACCACTTTTCGTACGGGCGGTACCAAAACCAAGCCCCGACCCTGTTATACTGAAAGCGCGACAAGATTTCTTAATGTCAGGAGTACCAGAGAAAATGCGTTTGGAAATGGAAAAACAAAAACAATACGAACAAACGTACGACGAAGAACTTGACCATTTTCCACGTATTTGCCATGTTCCCGAGTTGAGCTTAAATGACAAAATTTTTTTACAAAATAAGCGAGATTTCACTTTGAAATTGAGACCGCTGGAAGACGCTATTGATTCCAGCAAAGCAAAGTATGACTCACCACAGATAAAATATTCGAAAAGTGAAAAACGTAGATCTCGGAGTAGTGTGGGCAGCTCGATAAAAATGCAAACAATTTTGAATGTGAATTTAGAACCGAAGAAATTTGCAAAACCATCAATGCCCTTATTATCTACGATTGATAATAAAAGAGATATAATTAAACTTTGGAAAGGTGATTTCGATCGTTTTCCAACTTTTAAATGTTACAATCAAATGAGAGAAAAGTATCGATTTTTCAGTGCTTTGGACTCGGCACAGGATATGGAACAAGTAAGCGAATCGTTTGTGGTGACACGTAGAACGCAAAGGAAACGTAATTTAGAAACGGCTGCCTCCAACACCGAACAAGATGATGTAAAACCGCCCGCAACCGCACCCAATGGTGAACTATTATTTACTGAGAAGTATAAGCCAATGTTAGTTGAGCAAGTGCTAGTAAATCTTGTACCAGTAACTCAGTTGCGTGACTTTCTTGCCACCTGGGCTAATGGTAATGGTGGAAGTGCGCGTAATTCGCAAACATTTGATGATTCATGTGATGCCTCGAATGACTCGAATTGTAGTTTGAGCGGTACTACGTGCAATGCTGTGGTGCTGCTGGGGCCGGTATCGAGTGGCAAAACGAATGCCGTGTACGCGTTGGCAAACGATATGAATTTCAATGTGCTGGAAATTAATGCTGGTATGAAGCGGACAGGGAAACGTTTGATACAAGAATTGCAGGTTTGATTTGAATTTGCTTTACTGTTTTATTTTTTTTTTTTAATAATTTGTTTTTTACAAACTTTCAGGAAGCAACCCAATCTCATCAAATTCGTAAGGACTCAACGCCCACCCAAAGTGCTAGTAAAGCACAAAAAAATCTACTCCGCATGTCGTTGAACGGTAAAAAGGTGAAACAAAACTCTCATAGTACCAATGAAGGTGATAATAGCGGCAACGGTAATGGAGACACGGTTCAAAATACCCGAAAGTGTCTGATACTAATCGAAGATGCGGACGTAGTTTTCGATCAACTAGATAGTGGTTTTATCGATGCGATTTACACATTAGCAGCCAGTTCTAAGCGACCCGTCATTGTGATGGCAACAAATCCCAATTGTATGCATTTACAACGACTTATGAATCAGAATACAATATACTTCACGCCACCAAATGCGCTGAACATATCACGCTTTATGGCCGTACTATCACTTATCGAAAACTGCCCTATCAATTTAGATGATCTAGTTTCTTTGTATTTGTATAACGGCAAAGATTTGAGACGAACACTGTTGGAATTGCAGTTCTTCATACAAAGTGGTGGTGATCGTAAATCAATAACCGAAAACGACATTAAAATACAGTCACAACAGCGTACACCGCAGAAAGATACGGTTGCAAAACGTGATTTGAATTTCTTTGCATCACCCACAAAACGACGTCTTTCAGTGGAAGAACGTTCTCAGCAACCTCAAGAGCCTGACGAGCAACTTCGAAGAGATCGCTTAAATGCGGATGGAAGTAGTAAGCGTAGCCCCACCAATGAAGTGTATGTGCACCGTTCGCTTTTTGAATTTTTTACGCTCAATCAGAATAAAAAGTGGCGTATACCATTTCCCGTGGATTTCAGATTATTACGCGTTAATTTGGCAGATATATTTCACTGCTCACAACGGTTGCTAGCGGCCAGTGCAATTGAGAATGACATAAAAATCGAGAACAATCACGGTGTAGAAAAAAGTGAGGCAACAAAGCGTCGCACGCGTACACCAAAAGTGCCTACCAAGGTGCCGGTGAATGATGTTAAAAAGTCATCACTTGAAGTGATTAGTGATTTTTATGAAAATATTTCAATCGCCGCATTATTGGGCTCACACAATGCTGATATGTCCGAAGGTTATACTAACACTGCCGGTGGTAAAATGTCTAGAAGAAACACCGATTTAGGTGTTGATCGGTTACTTCCCCATATGTCTGAGCATATTGCGCATGAGCTAGTGGAGCAGGCGATCAGCGTAAATTTAGCGGCGGATACGTGTCCATATAATCTTTTCGACACGCCAACGGAACGGTAAGTTGTTTAACTTTCTTTGCTTGCACACAAATTTCATATGTTGTGATAATATTGATTTAGATTTGCTTTGCTTCAAATCTTAAGCTTAACTTATTTTTGTATTTTTTTTTTATAACTTTTGATTACATTTTTTTTCTTCTTCGTATAGGCTCTCGCTTTGTGACTACATAAACAGCAATGCAATAAGTGCTCGCAGTCAGCGTACGCGTGCTATGGATTTAGAACCAGCATTGCGAGCCATTTGCCGTAGCGAGAAGCATCGGGCCATGCAGGAGCGGCGTTCAACTCGTTTCTATCATTATTTGCGACACAGCGCCATCAATGCCTCCAGCTTTTCAACAGAGCTCTTTGGCAATGCCTGTTCGATATTGCTAGATACCACCGCAACGGAGTTGCACCCGGGTGAAGAGTTGAAGACTGAGGTGGATAAATAATAGTTTAAAAAATATTTTCATTCAAATGTCAGCGCCAAGTGCTGCGTTTGTATTGTGCGCATTTTTTATAAGCATATTAGAAAAAAAATATTTAGCTAGGTGGTAGCAACAAGAAAAAGAATTCTTAGTAAAAATATTTTATCAAGTGTAGTATAATGTGAATTTATTGACATTTTACACTTATTACCTATATACATAAATAATTAATTAATTTATATTTTGTAACGTAAACTAAATTTTACAGCTATGTACATATATATAAGAACGAATTCAAGCAGCAAACAAAAAAATGTACTTTATAAGTGAAGTTAATAAAAATAACAAATTCTTAAATAAGCTCATCATTGCGTGGTAATAATTAAGTTCAATATTACGTAAGTCATACCTATTTAAGTATTTTTTTTTGCTAACTCATATAATCATGTTTATATTCTGAAATATTCACGAGTTTCGGTTTAATCACAGTTGGGCGTGTTTTCTTAAATTTATCAGCATTCTTTGCCATTCAAAAGCAAAAGAAGAATTTTATTCGCTTCTTTTCCGATTGACCACATTCTGGCTGCTGTTGTTGCTTCTCGCTTAGACCGTTAGCTGCGGATGTAGGTTGGCGATTGTGTACTTTCGTGTACTGTAGGAGAAAGGAAAGATTGTATAATTTTTGATTTTAAATTAGAAAAATCTTAGAAGGTATTTTGTGTGTTATCATTCTTTAGACATCGTTTTGTGTATTCTTCTTTTTTAATACCAAACTGAACTATTTGAACTACAGCAGGATGTACATATACATACATACATATAATAGAGGAAAATATGGTTTCTTTAATGAAAGTCTGTGGCGATATTTGGTTTTGCATTTTGAAGCTTATATAATAATACATAATGTAAATAAAACAAAACTAAAAGTTAAATAATATGACACAAAATTTATAAAGAAACAAATATTTTATTTAATAATATAAAGAAATAAAAAATTGAATTAAACTGAATTAAAATTATTAAAAATTATAGAAAACAATTGAAAGTCAATTGAAAACTACAACAACAAGTTCAATATAAAAACCGAATTAAATAAAAAAATAGAATAAAAAAATTCAAATAAATAATCAAATACCACTAAATAAAATAAAAATAAAATACAAAAAACCAAAAGAAGGTAAAGTCAAATTAAATCAAGCAAACTTTAAAATAAAATAAAGTAAATGTATTGGATAAGTGCATAAGTTCGTGCCCGATTCCGCTGGATGCCGTTCGAATCGTTTGAGAGTGGCGCTCGTGGAAGATATGTATACATATTATATTATATATCGTTGGAAAGGTGACAGTCCGAACTGTAAATCAAGCATAAAATAACTTCATTTTGATTTGAGTTGCTTAGTGAAAAGACGCATGGAAGATGGACNGCGGCTGCCACGCTGGAAAATTGTACAAGGGGCACCCTCTAGAAGATGCTGCAGAAGCAGCAAAGAGAATGAAGAAGAGGCGTCAAGACCCATCACTTATATGAATGTTCTGCTTTGAGCAGAGGAATGATTCGTATGGATGATCTATCGAAGATAGCTGACGTCATAGTCATGAATTTAATGAGATTAATTAGAGAATCAAAATGGATGGAGGGTGAAGCCTGATAGGTTTAAGTGGTTCTCGCTGAGTCCAACTTGACAAAACGGTAGCCCCTGCGACCTTATCTATCTAACTGGCCTGTGGTCGCTCTCAATAATAATAATAATAATAATAATAATATCATAATAATAATAATAATAATAATAATAATAATAATAATAATAATAACAAGAATAATAATAAGTTAGAAAGACTAGTAAAATCAAATAAAGTAAATATAATAAAGTAAAAAAAAATTAAATAAAAGAAGTTAAATGAAAGTAAAATCAAATCAAATAACATAATACAAAGTACAATAAAATAAACGAAATTTAATTAAATTAAAACTAGAATAAAATACTATAAAAAATAAAATAAGTAAGTTAAAATAAAATACTCAGAACAAAAATAAAATGATAATCAAATAAAATAAAGGAAAAAAATAAAAAGTTAAGAAAAAATAAAACAAAATGAAAGTAAAAATATTGAATAAAAAAGAAATTAAAAAATAAATAAAAAAATTAATATAATAAATAAAATACAAAAATAAATATAATAAATGAAATGAAAAAATAAATATAGTGAATAAAATTATAAGATTCAATCACAAAAATAACAGTAATTAGATGACTGTTATATATTTGCTTTCCATCCATATATGTATGTACGTACCTACATATGTATGTACATAAAAAAACTTTATGACTTTCATTTCTACTTTAAAATTTTGCAACGAAACATTTCGAGAGTTTTAGGCAAGTTCAAATTAAAAATTGTTAGTATTCTATTGTATAACTTAATTTCCTTACCACAATTGATAATATTCAAACTAATATGCAAATATGACTGTTTGTATATATGTACATATGTACATATTTTACATACATACGTACATGTGTGTTTAAATTACCACTATTTATTTATGATCAGGCGAGAAAAAATGATTACGCCTGACGGTGATAGATAGCAGCATATGTATGTATGTATGTATGCGCATATAATTTAGAATTTGCTATTTTCATACATACACATATGTATACATATATACACACTTGGGTACATGTAATATTTATATTTGTGTAAATATCGCGTCAGTAAATCAGTGAATAGTCACTAGTCAGTAGCTGTGCTATACACGCTGTTGGAAGTAAAGTTTAATTACCGCTATGTCCGTGACCGATTTGTACAAACATTCACCTACGTACGTATCTCTATCTACGTGCATACATACTTACATACTCGTACATATGTAGCTCGAGAGGAATTTCCGCAAATCACTTGTGCTCGATATTAGTGAAATGTTTATATTATATATATTGTATATGTATGTATGTATGTATATGCGTATTAATTGTATTTAGATAAGTCACAACATGTATTTGAAATTATTTATGTTATCTTACCTCCGGTCTAACAACGCCTATTTTGTATGATTTCATTTGTTTTATAGCATCGGTTGAATGACCAACTTCATTGAAGGCTTTTGTGGCATCTTTTCCGGCATATTCGAGTATTGAATCATCGCCACCGGGATGCTAAAATTGAATGTTAGAATTGCTTTGAGAAATGTTTAAAAAATTAGTTAATAATTTGAATAAATGTGGTTCAGTTAATAATCATAATTTTAGCTTAGTATTATGAGCGGCGGCCGCGGTAGCCGAGTGCTTAGCATTGCGTCTGCTATTCGGAAGGGTTTCGGGCTCAAATTCTCGTGCGTCCAACATCGAAAAGTTGTAGAAAATAAATTAAATAAAAAAATTAATTAAAATTTTCTAATTGCAGTCTTTCCTCGGCAGGGAATGTCAACGCTCCTCAGAAAAAAACCAACAGCCGTTCAGACGCGGCTTAGTTTAAACTCTAGTTCCCTCCATTTGTTGCGAAAACATCAAGACCCAAAACCACAAATTGGAGAAGGAGCTCGTCGGAAAATCGCTTCATCGATTACAAAGCGCCAATTATATATATATTATGAGCAAAACGATAAAGGGTAAAGACGAAATGAGTGCGTGAAAATAGCTTGAGTTGGTTGCTGTCAAGAAAAATGAGAAAAAGGCGTGATTAAGCCGGCTTAAAAACCAACCAAATATGCCATTTAATTGTCTGGCACAATAAATGAATTGATAAATAGACAATTGAACAGAATAATAAAATCAGAAGTGGAATAAAACACACAGACTCACCAACAAATGCTAATTTGCGCTAAGTGGATAATCGGAAAGTAAAGTCCTCACCTAAGGTAGAGGCGTCAAAAAAAAAAGAAATATTTCTTTTTCAATTTTCGAACGTCAACTCATCAGATGTTGTTGTTGTTGTTGTTGTGACCGTAAAATTCTTCCCCAAAGTACATTTTGGGGAATGTTGCGGTAGTGACAGTCCTTGGCCGGATAAAAATCCGGGTCGTTCCGGTATAAAGACCCGACTGTCGCGTGAACTATTGGATTTTAGTCGCCTTTTACGACAGGCATGCCTTACCACGGGTAAATTCTTGAGCCCCTAACCCGCAGGTGTTGTCATCGTCCATGCTTCCGCATCATATAGCAGGACGGGAACGATGAGGGACGTTCGCCGAGAGAGGACTTTACTTTTCAATTGCCTACTCAGTCCAAAGTAGCATCTTTTTGGCAAGAGTGGTTCTGCGTTGGATTTCCAGGCTGACATTGTTATTGGTGTTAATACTGGTTCCTAAATAGACGAAGTTATCTACGACTTCAAAGTTGTGACTGTCAACAGTGACGTAGGAGCCGTGTCGCGAATGCGATGACTGTTTATTTGATGACAGGAGATATTTCATCTTGCCCTCGTTCAGTACCAGACCCGTTTGCTTCGCTTCCTTACCAAGTCTGGAGAATGCAGAACTAACGGCACGGTTGCTGAGGCCAATGAAGTTAATATCTTCGGCATACGCCAGCAGCTGTACATTCTTATAAAAGATTGTACCTTCTCTATTCACCTCTACAGCTCGTAATATTTTCTACAGCATAAAATCAAAGAAATCACTCGATATGGAGTCGCCTTGTCAGAAACCTCGTTTGGTATCAAACGGCTCGGAGAGGTCCCTCCTGATCCGGACGGAGCTTTTGGTATTGCTCAAGGACAGTTTACACATCCGTATAAGTGTTGCGGGGATACCAAATTCAGACATAGCGGCGTAAAGGCAGCTCCTATACGTGCCGTCAAAGGCGACTTTAAAATCGACGAAGAGGTGTTGAGTGTAGATCTTTTCACAGGTCTTTTCCTAGATTTGGCGCATGGTGAAAGTCTGGTCAATGGTTGACTTACCAGGTCTAAAGCCACACTGATAAGGTGCAATTAGTTTGTTGACGGTGGGCTCGAGAGGTTGCGCTCGACAGGACCTTGTAGGCGATGTTTAGGAGGCTTATCCCACGGTAATAGGGGCAGACTATGGGGTAGGATCCCCTTGTTTATGGATTGGGCAGAGCGCACTTAAATTTAAATCGTCGGGCAGGCTTTCGTTCGACCATATTCTACAAAGTAGCTGAAGCATGCACCTTGTCAGCTCTTAACCGCCATGTTTGAATAGTTCTGCCGGTAGACCGGCAGCTCCCGCTGCTTTGTTGTTTTTTAAGCGGGCGTTTGCTATTCGAATTTCAGCGTCATCGATTTGGGTTTCGTGTACACCATCTTCGGATACTCCCTTTTCACTGCTATTCCCTCCATAAATTGAATATATTCTGGGTATCGGTGGCTAGATCACCTCTTTGTGTTCTACACGGGTCTGCTCCGGTCTCGAAACCTTCGTAAGTCGTCGTACCTTCTTAAAGAATTTTCGAGCATTACCCTTGTGGTCCAGCTTCTCAAGCTCTTCGTACTCACGCATCTCGGTCTCTTTCTTCTTTTGTCTGTAAATGTTTCGAAATCCACTAGCTGTACGTTGGGATCTTAAAAAGCCGTCCTACAGTTCCCTCTCTCTCAGAGAGCAGGAGTGCAAGTCGAGTAGAAAATCATTCGGCAGTCTGTCGACATCGTACTTTCTTTGTGTTTGTTGACGGGCGTTCTTCGATACACAGAGGCGCATGAGTATCTTCGCTGCAACAAGATAGTGGACCGAGTCGTTGTTGGGCCCTCGGATGTCAAGAACACTAGACATATGTCTTCCGTCTATCACAACATTATCGATCTGGTTTTGTGTTTTTCGATCAGAGGATAGTTCATATAGAAGAGAAATTCTCAACAGTTAAATAAAAATAGTTTTGAATGCTTCAGATGCATCGCACGACCTCCATCACCGGCACAGTTTCACAAGCTCAGACTGCAGTCGCAGAAAACTCATCAACATCAACATTGGAAATTTACAGAATTTTTAAATACTATTTTTTTTTTGAAGCTTGAATATAATACATTATTGTCTGAAAATTTCGTTTACCGCTATAATTTCCTTCCCATCGGAAAAAAATTGCTGAAAATGCCTTTTTTCGGGTTCTGGCGCTTTGTAACCGCTAAAGCGATTTTTTGGCCGAAAAGGGACTACTGCCTTAACGTATAATGAATATTAGGTGTGATCTGTAGTATGGTTAACAAGACAAGACGTTGAAAAAATTGGCTATTTTTTATGCAAACAAATTTTCACTGAAAGTAGACCGTAAACGTGGAAATGTTAAGCAGCACTGGCCGCCGATCCAATGGTTAAAAATGCATCCCGTTTGTCTGGATCATATGGTCTGAATCTACGTTTCAATGACAACGTAGATTAGGCAGATAGAACTAACTTCAAATGATCTCTGATTTAGATAGTTCCCGGGTTCGTGATTTTGATACCCTTGATCAATAGTTCGAAATCAATGATATTACTGAAACACAAACTAGGATTCGTCCTAAAAAATTTACGATTTTATTTTTTTTATTTATTTTATAGCCTTCGATCTCAACCCGCTTGTGGTATTTTCACTGTTCACCTTTTACACTCATTACATTAACGGTCTACGTACTTCTTTTATGAACTCCGTCATATCATAAACACTTTCTTTGATTATAATCCACACTGGTTTGCCATCGTGGCCATTGTTCTGTGCCACCTCACTAACACTATATTCCTGTGACATGTTTCTGAAGTTTTACACCAAACAACAATAAAAATAATCAAAATAATTTAACTTTAATAAATAAAAAAAGCAATTCCCTATGCGCTAGGCGTCTTGACGTGACCGTATGCCTACAGCAACTGGTTTCTTACTCATTAGAATATCAAGCCTTTTATGTACAATATATTCCTCAGCAGTAGCTCCGTTGGGCCAATCAGTGCCAATACATATATATTGATATCTGCAAATCAAAAAACGATAAAAGGTGCGAATATGATTCTCCGAAAACCTTTTTAGCTTCTTATATACAGTTGTATTAATTTTCATGTCTAAATACATACATACAATGCTACATTTAAGTATTTATTTGTTACTATAGTATGGGACGCATAGTTGTGGGTGTTGACTTGTTATCTCTGGAAGTCTTTTGAATACAAACTTCCATATGGAAAAAATTGTAATTTACCGCTGTGCTGTGCTGTGCTGTAATATTTATCTTGAATTTGTATTCTTTCTTTGTTTTTGCGAGTAACCAAGTTGCATTTGTTTTCCTGAGGAACTCTTCCTACTTCAATTCAATTCAAAATTGAATCTTTGCTTGCTTATCGCTTTATAGCATATATGTAATATATGTACATACATATGGATGTAGGTATGTATGGAAAAAAATGCATATTTGCGGATTGCAAAATCATACGTAACGCATACGACACGGTGTTTCCCCCCAAAAAAAAAAATAAAAACACGTTTCAAAAACGTTTAAAATTGTTTTACGTCGCTAATCGTATATTTGCAAGTGCTTCAGACACGTTAGTGATTTTAAAGCGATTATTTTGCTACTTAGTTTTTTTCGCTAAATTCCTTCATGGCTGTGAAAGAGGTTATGAAATTCTGGTATCTAAGTACGTGTATGCAAGAGCGATATTCAACTTCAATGCCTGGTAAGATAATATTTGCTGACAGTCTACGTTCCGCTGCCGTGACTGTTAGATTGTGTTTATATTCTTTCTGCATTTCGATTCGAAACGCAGTTTTCTCCATTCGCAGATTTGGTATTCTGCGCTCCGTTGCGCTTCGTTCAATCTTCCAAACTAACGGTCTATCGCTTCTGTATATCGATTATAGTTACGTTTACCTGCGTTGCAATTTTGTTGGCGGAGAACGGTGAGAGTTTGTATTATACATATTTTTTTGTACTTCCATAATGTAATTTCTCGAACGGCAGAATCAAGGTTTTTAATAGAGTTTCCTCCTATAAAGTATCTAGTAAATACTTGAATGTATCTTTGTTGTGTACAATTCTTTTTTTTTTTTTTGGAATCTCAATAAGTAAGTCAAATGATACATTTTCATTTTCCAGACTAATTTTCTTACGATTCTTTCCCCAAAATCATCGTACGCCTTTTACTCTTCCTCGATTGCGCGACTCATCGATTCCATTGTTTGTATCATGCAGAAAAAAATTTATGCTTTTTTTGTATTATTTAAGCGGCAATAGTTAATGCCACGGTCGGTGAAAGTCGAGTGGTTAGTAATGCCACTCGGAATGTCAAGTCTCGAATCCTTTTCCGAGCAACACGCAAAAGTTAATGAATTTAAGGGGGGAACCTGGTTTAGAGGGTCAAAAAAATCGATTTTTTGAAACTTATCTCATTCGATTAGAAATATTCGATTAGAAATATTGTATATTCAGAAATATTTCCACAAAATTTCAGAATCAAATTCCTAATCGCGCCGCAGAAATAGCCTCTGAGAGACAATGCGCTCAGGAGACTGATAAACGGGCTCGAGAACTTTGAACGCGATTTTTTCAAAACAGTGTTTTTCTGTTTTGTGCACACGATTAAAAAAGTTTTAATTGTGGCATTTTAATAAGTGATACCATTTTTTACAGCTAATGGTGTAGGCTTCGATGTGAACCTAAAAAATCACAATAAATCAATAAATTATCTTAAAATTTCTTCAGAAAAACGCAAAATTTTTTATAAACAGTCATAAAATAAATAATTTTATAGATTTCTTCGAATATCTTAGGTTCACATAGAAGAGCAACTTCTAAGCTACAAAAAAAGGATTCGTTTTTATTCGTTTTTCCGATGAAAACTACGATCGCTATCGTGTTCACAAAATAGACTCTTCGAGCGAGAAATGCTACAAACAAATACGAATTGTTATTGTTTAACAGTATCAAATAAAGTGAAAGTAAATTTTGTTTGCAAGATTTGTGTATCTATGACCTATTTCAAAAGTACTTGAAACATTTCATACGTAAGGCAATCTAAAACACTGTGCCGAATATCATGCAATTTTCAGCGTTCTAAACCAGGTTCCCCCCTTAAATGTTAAATCTAATTTCGGTCGCCCCTGGACAGGAAATGCCAAGTTTTATTTTTACATAACAGAAAAAACTCCTCATAAAAAGCTATCAGCCGTTCGGAAGCGGCTTAGTATAAAATGTAGGACCCTCCATATGTTGGAAACACATAAATACGTATACAACGAAAAGCAACTGTTAGCTTTGTTGTTTTTTCAATTTTATATATTCACATACATGCAAATAGTTAATTTCGAATTAATTTCGAAATGCTGCTTTCGTCCTCATCTTTTTTCGAGAGAGAGTGAGCAAACTCATGGATAATTACAATAGTGGTCATGCAAATAGCACAAAGTGTATCATAAGAGAAAATTCAACTCTACTGACGAAAAAAACAATATCTTCCTGAATAAAAAATGTTGTTATTTAGTTTACATGGTCTCGTAAATAGCAAGTAATTTTTTAAATAATTTTTGGTGGAAGTTAAATATATTTACAGGCCTATTCTGTGTATTAAAATTTACCATTCAGTAAATTTTGTTACTATTTCGTATTCTGAGCTCACTGTCACCCTGTAAATTTTGTTACGAGCGAAATAGGAGGTATCAAACATATCTGCTGTTTGATTTTGTGTTGTAAATTTGAGAAAAAATAAAAAACCAAAATGGGTAGGCATATTTTGGGCCAGGAATTCATTGCAGTTGAAGAAAGAAGTGCAAAAAGCCGTATTTTTAGCCCTTTAATTTGTAAGATAAAGTTTTCATTCAGCTTTTTTTTTGTTATCCTGGCATATTTCCCATAATTAGGTTCAAAAATTTATGATATAATAAACAATTAATAAAACCTTTCAATTTTTTTGTGCACTGTCTTCCATTTCGATGTGAATATTTTTCTTTTTTACTTTATCAACTGCCAAATGTAATTTGACATGGACGAAAAAATCAATGCTGCCAAATTTTTCTCAAACATTGTAACCAATTCGCTAGAATACCAAATTCAATTCGGATGTTAAAGAAAAGTAACAAAACTTACTTTATCGCTAACAGTGAGAACAGGCCTGTTAAAGTAAATTTCTATCGAAGCTTACCTAGATTGAATGGAAATGGGTCGCGGTAAACGGTGTACACCGGAAAAAAGGAGCATCAGGGAAAAGTGTTTCTGAAATTGCAGTTTTATTGAATAGTTCCCGTATAATGGTACATAGGGCCCTTAAATTGGTTCAAGAGAATGAAATTTATCAATTTAAAAACAAATCCAAGGCATCAGCACTGTGCAATACAAATATTTTCGAAGACCGAGCCATAATGCGTAACAGCAAGCTAGATTCTTTTAACTCGTCTAGATAAATAATGCAGGAATTCAAAAAAACTGTTTTTAATATATCAAGAAACACTATTGGAAGGCGTCTAAATCAGTACCAGCTCTTTGGACGCATTACCTGTAAAAAACCACCCACACGGTATTTAAAAAAGGAGTTGGAGTTTGCTAAGACTCACGAGAACCGAGAACTAAGTTTTTGGAAAAGTTTATTATGGACCGATGAAACTAAAATAAATAGAATTAGACCAGTTGGAGAAAAGCACAGTTCCAATCGTCCAAGAGGTCAAGATTGAATCCTAGCTAAATCTAAAAGACATAAGATCAAACAATGTTGTTATAGAGCCCATCATTGAGACGAAATATCTGGGGGTGATTTTTGATGCCAAAGTAACACGGTAAAAACACATATGCAGAAGATTAGCAGGGACAACATGGGAATGCACCCCCAAAATACTGCACTGGATGTATACCACGATCGTAAGGCCAACAATAAAATATGGCGCGATTGCCTGGTCAGAAAGAGCAAAGTTAAACACAGCCAGGGCTGCACTAACTAAACTGCAAAGACTAACGTGCGTCTGTATAACTGGATGCATGAGAACATGTCCTACAGTAGCACTAGAAGGTCTCCTTGATCTTACACCTCTACACAAGGAAATAGAGCTCTCTAATAAGAAAGCCATATTAACAATAATAAAAGAGGGGCCAGCGAAATGAAAAATCATATCAGCCAATAAAGGGGCAGAGATAAAAGAAAGAATATCTCTAGCAAATTTTAATAGAGATGAATATTTAAGACAACAAGTTTCAATGCCAAGTTTCGGGGCACACAGGTATTGAAGGAAACCAAAGAGCAGATAGACTTGCAAAAAGAGCTGCCTCAATCTCTTCTACTGGACCAGAGCCATTCTTTCCCTACGGTCCCCACTCAATCAGAAAGTATATAAGAAGGGAGGAAATAAGTATGAGAAACAACGATTGGCATTGCAGCAACGAAATGAGACAATCAAAGAAGCTCATAAAAGGCTATATACCAAAAGACTGAATAATATAATATTCGCTTAAATGAGCGATCCATTGCAAAGGCAAATCACTTTCGAATTACTTCGATCGAACGAGGTTTTCGGCCGAGCTCCTTCTCCTAATTATGGTGTGCGTTTTGATATTTTCCCAATAAATGGAACGACTTTGTCGCCTCCGAACGGCTGTTGTTTTTTTATGAGGAGCCTTTATTTCATGTCATCCATTTCAAGTCAGACATTCCCTTCCGGGGGTAAACCGAACTTAAAAAAAAAAATAATTTTCTATAAACCTAAGAAGATCATTTAATCAACCATCGTGGAATCTTTCAAGCCGAAATATTTGCTATAAAAAATGGCGGCAGAACCTCTTCTTGAAATGGTTTCACTGTTGTAAGTAGGCGATAAACAGACTGTCTAAGCAAAGAAGGATTCACATCTACTAAGTGCCAGATCATATGGGCATCGAAGGTAATATGATAGCTGATGAAATGGCTAAGGAGGGTGTCCTTTTAACACATTACGTAATTGAAGATTTATCAGTTC